AATTTTGTTTATAAAAATCCTCGCACATTGCGGGCATGAGAGCACACCGTTCACATAATTATAGCTGATAGCCGCAGGTGGCCGGGCTTTCAGCTCGTCGTGTCTGGCATACAGCTCAAGGAGCCACCGATTTTCAAAGGCTTTGATGCTAGATTTAACAAGCGCTCTCCACTCCGGCTGCTGCTCCCACAGCGAAGGATTGCTGTTACACTGCTTCATGTGTCGCTTCAGCACATCTTTTTACCTGAGGAGTTGTCCGCCATGCTTCCGCTTGCCTTCCTCAAGTTCTGAGTAAAAGATGTGCTTAGCTGTTCTATCCTTCGTCATACGCGTCACATGCCCACACCACCGAAGTTGACGCCGCATAAGATACGACTCAATCTCTACATTGGCCCTTTGCAGCACTTCAGTATTTCGTAAACGGTCAGACCATCGGATTTGGAATATATTCCGTAAGCACTTGAGGTGGAATCGGTCTAGCATACGGATATGACAGCGATACACTGTCCACGTTTCGGCAGAGTATAAGATGTTGGGCATCACGACTGGTATATAGACAGCGATCTTAGTTGCCAACTTAAACTCGTGCGACTTTACACATACAATTATATTAAATAACACATATTATTATATAGTTACAATAAGGCAACCATATATGTAGTTACAAATATTTTTAGCGAAATATGTTAAATGTATATTTATGTGGGAGTTTAGGCCCATAGTTCTGTGATAATGATAGTGATGATAAGTAGAACTGCCTTGGCTGAATACTACTCGAACACTGATTTTATTGCTAAAGAAATTTAATGAGATGAAATGCAATATGAGGTGTAATTGCATATGTCGGAAATTGTGTACTGCACAGTAAGCAGGCATGTGCAGTTGTCCGTACAATAAATAAAACTAGAGTGTCTGTTTGTCATATTGAAATAAACGGTTTTTACTACATGCATATGAATATAAATATGGTACATATACCAAATTTAATTTTTTTACAATTTATGTTTATCTGTCTGTCTGTTCGTTCCGGCTAATGTCTGAAATACCTGGACCAATTTTGATGGGACTTTTGCAGGTAGCAGATGTAATAAGGAGTAACATAGGCTACTTTTATTTTAGAAAAATAAAGTTGAATTCCACTCAGACGAAGACGCGGGTACAGCTAGTACCTGCATTATTGTAACTTAACAATAAATAATGCCTCTACCTGGGACAATCAACCAAATATCTCTATCATAATTTTCAATGACTTTACGGCATTACTAAATCGCTAGTACAAATCGCTGGGAATGTATCATGCCAAAACCAAATTCCCCGTATTGTGGTCGGCAGCAAAACTAACCTACATTGCAGTACAATGCACAGATTGTACCTGTATCGATCCAGTAGTACATTGTAACAGACAAATGTGTTGTCATGTAATTATGTTTGCTCTATCAATTGTGTTACAGAGTAGAGGCGGGAAACATATTTCAGAAACACCTCTATTCATATAACTTCAAGCCTCTACAAAGTATACACAAAATCACATACACATATATTTATACACACACACTCACAAGTATACACACGTTTTATGATAGTGCTATATGTTTAGTATTTGACGATATTGACTATACATATAACTCTGGACTACATCAGCGCTCTCTGATTTTAAATTATTTAAACAATCAGAGATTTTGAATTGTTGATGCAATGCAATTTTTTATAACAAAAATACAGACGAAATCGCGAGTAATAGTTTTTAGGAGCATGGATTGTAGGTTACTGGCTAAATATAATAAAACATCTTTTCTGGAATAAACGCGTTATATTATAATAGAATAATATGTTTATATTATTCTATTATATTACACTGAGCAACATATAGTATGCATATCGTGGATAGAATCCGGCGCCACTCGGTCATATGTTCGATATTTAAAATAGAGGTTAGTGCTTGTTCTAAAGTCTACCAAGGTTGGGTCGCATAAAGTTTCTTGGCTATTTTTCACTGTTTTAAATTTGCATTTAGAATGTGGCAGTAAAATAAAAAAGTTAATATTACAGGATAGATAGACTTAGTCCTTGAAAATATAAACCTATAAATGGTAGCGCGCATTTCACAATAGATCATTAGACCACATCATCACTTAACATCAGGTGAGATTGCGGTTAAACGCGCTCAAATTTTAATAAATAAAAAAAAACAATATATTTGTATTTTATGGTAACGGTAGTGTTTGAGCTTTACTTAGCATTTATTTATAATATTTTTAAAAATCCATATTACATTTATTATTTATCAATTTTTATTTTTATTTTATTTATTAAGCAGTTATGAAAAAATGTAGCAGCCAAATATTATTTGGAGTAACCAATGATTATTAATGGCATGGACTCGGCACGATGTATTACTTGCAACATAGTAGTCTTGAGAGTATCATAAATGTTGGTTTAATATGAAAACTATCTACTCCGCTGAGCGCGCTTACTAACCGTAAAACCTTTAATAATCAAATTTTTATACAATCCAGTAGCACTATAAAAGTATACGAGGCAATAAAGAAGAATCTACCGTTACTCTATGAGAATACAAATACCAATGCTAAACAACTCTATATCGATACTACGCCGCCGTAAATTTAGAATACACGATGCAATTCTGAATTATTCCGCAGTAACTTTTGTTTGCGATTGTACAATGGCAGTTCATAGCTCATAGCGATAATGCAGTTTCCGAACCGAATTGATTATCAGCCCAAACTTGATGTTCTACTATTATGAGCGATATGTGTTCGCATTTGGTTGATTCAGGTGTTGTTCGGTGGCAGTCAATATCACTGAATATGCTACTGTATGACCTGCCGCTTTGACGAGGATTGGATTTCTGTTATTGATACTACCTGTATATAGAGAAACGATGATTTCACGACATGATGACGGAAGCATTAAGTAATTAAGATGTTCAAAGACTGGAACTAATTAAAACAACACACAGAACGTACATTGAGTATGGTAGGATAGATTGTATCCTATTTGATAGATAATAATATAATAGAATAATCTCAGGATAATTCACAATACACACTAGATCTAAGTTAAGCTAGCTAAAACTTGTATTATAGGTACTAGAAAACTGATACAATATTTTTTTTTTTTGTAAATACATACATATTATACCTAGAAAACACCCAGACCGATACAAACAATCATATTCATGAATACAAATGACTGTGCCGTGCGAAGAATCGAACCCGTGACCATCGCTCGTAAAGCGGTGTGCTAGACCGCTAGACCACCGAGGTCGTCAAATGATCGTCGTCTCTATCTCGATCTTTTATTTCTATACATCTAATAAAATGACAAAAACAATCGGTATATCTCCTTACGTATCAAGATTTTACGTGGAAACGACTAGATATATTATTATTTAATAAAAATTTTATGGAGTATGTTGATAAATATGAGTCAACATGTAGGCTAAAACTGATTAAAATACCAGCCAAGTAGGAGAAATAATTTGTGATAATTTTCAATATTTCATTAATTTATAAAATGTTGTCGTACTACTTTATTTATTGTTGTTGATTCAGTATCATCAATTAATGGCGTCACTTGTCCCATATTACCAGTGTAGGATCATGTTCTATGTCCGTAACTTCATTCCTCTGAATATCTACAAGTAAAATTTTTAAGTCAAATTTTATCTACAAGTTAAATTAAGTAAAACCATAAAGTTTCATAAATGAATAGAAATTATTTGTGATAAAATGTTTATTTGTTATTATTAAATGTTTTTCGGTAATTTTCTTTTCATGTTTAGAAGTTTGTGATAAAAATATTATTAATCTTTCATACTAAAAACTTTGTGGTTTCATAAGAAGTTATTTGTGATCAAATAAACATTGAAATATTTTTTCTTCTCATGTTTAGAACTTTATGATAAAAATTTTATCAAATGGAGCACATTAGTACCATTATAATAAAATTGTTAGTACCGTTATTTATTTATTAGAAGTATCAATTTTAGCGATCATCAATAGTTTTCAAAATATAGCCATAGGTTAGGATCTTCAATTATCCATTCAATGGAAAAAGAAATCTGTAACTATATTTCTATGGCATGAATTAATGAAAATTGCAATTTTATTTTCAATTTCATCAGCTTTTAACTTTGTCTATCCACTTTTACTTTAAAAGTTTGCACAATCAACGACACAATGGCGACCATATTAAAACTTCATACTCACAGTGAATCCTGTTTGATTTAGTACTTTTTGAACTGGATCAATGAAATTCGTTACACATAATGAATTCTCATTGATGTTGGCTATACAGACATGAGGAAAAACAAACTTGTCCTACTCTTTTCCTGGTATTTCTTGAGAAATAAATCTTCAAATATACAATAAAAATAATACAAAAGTTGTTTATTTTTTTCAGATAACCTTGTAACTAAAAATTCGAATTCTTCGAATTCTGCTACATTGTACCTTATTTTATTTTTTAATATAATGCGTGGAACAGTTATTTGAAATAATTGTCAAATAACTGATGTCTTTAAAATAGGTTTTCATTTCTACCGTTTACAAATATTCGGGAAAGTATAAGATAAGATTACATATTTATGTCTAGGTGTTTAGTACAGCTGTTAAGTTGTTAATCAAAGAGTAATTACATTAAAGAGTAGTTATATATGTTCATAAAATTTATAAAATATAAATGTATAAAATAAATAAATAAATATTTAATATTATAAAATAAACATTTATAATTACTGGAAAATTCTAATTAAAATGTTACGTTAAGTGGCATACTTTTATCAAGACAAGATATTTATATTGTTAAGTTAATATTGATGCCAAGGTTTTTAAAAGAAAAATCTTGCCTACAATTTATATTACTTGTAAGTACTGTAGGATGTACTCTTCGTTGATCGAGTTGGTAATAAAATGTAAAAGAATCCTGATGACAATTATTTATTTAATTAAATAATATTTTTTTTGTCTTTTCAACAGTTACGACACGAGGGTAGAAGGACCAACAGCGCATTGGACAGATGATGCGTTTGCCAAGCGGACGCTATGGCAAAGCTCGCCGAACTCGGCGCTGCGGGTGCGGGACGTGCAATCTCGCGATCGCGCCACATACAGATGTCGTGTAGACTTCCAAGTGTCCCCCACTAGGAATTACCTCGTCGCGCTCGATGTAATAGGTAATCAGCAATTTTAATAATTTACCATTCATTTCAGTTTTTAAACGTTATAAATATGTTCTCTGAACATGTATAACAATACGATGATTATGAACTTGTATTATTTTGTAACGTTATTCTATTATTCAAAATAGTCCTGACTAGATTCCTTCTAAGGCCTTTATTTCGAATCAGTATTTCGAGTTAAGCGGAGAAATAAAAAAGTATTAATTATGAAATGTATAATAATAACGATTTGTCTATTCAATTATATATCATATTACATAAATCAATGAAGTAAATCCTTGTGAAATGTCGATATTGGACCTAATTTTGATCCTTTTGTAGATCTTTTCGTCAATCTAAAAATTTCAAACATAATTAAGATGTGTTGTGAATAAACACATAAATAGTGGATTATGATGATAGGTCACAGGCTACGAAAATTTCTATCCGGCTGTCAGAAAAGAATAATAAGAGTAATTTTGTATATTTATGTGTTCATGTAGTTACGACAGTAGGTAAAGTTCCCGGGGGAGCCTAGGCCAGTAGATGATCCTAAATAAAATTATTTTTCTGTCTAGTTCGGTCGGCTGAAGCATCCGTTCTCGGCGGTGAATGCGAACGAAATAAAAGAAAAAAAAAAACAATAAAATTTTAATAAGATCAACAATTATCTATTATTTAACAGATCCAAGTAAAATTATTTTTTTATATAAGGTGATAATTCGCAAAATATACAGATAGCGAGCACTGGCGATCGATGGCCAATACGTATAAATTTTAATATTTTAAAAAATCATTCTATTTCCATAATTATTGTTAAATAAATAATTTTAAAATTTATTTATTTATATTTATTATATAAAAAATTTCTTGTTAATGCGAAGTATGCGGGGCGCGGTGGCGGATTTTTAAATATATTTATTTATAACCTCTCTACAAATTAGAATGCTATATGGAACATAACTATAACAAAAATAAATGCATAATTTTTAGCTACTAATAATGCACAGCCGTTCTTTCTGTTTCGTGTAATGCTTTTGTTTGACACCACCAGAGATTCTTAGTCATTATTCGCGGTGAAATCTATTTTCCGAAAGTGGCAGAATAAACAATACAAAGTATTAAAATTCGAGAAAATCATATTGTTGTACATAAACGTCATGTTTCCTATTTTTGTTTTACAGCGTGATCAACCGTTTTTTTTTCTTTATGTAATTTTTAATAAATATAATGTAGTGACTTATAATTTGTATTACTTTCTTTTAAGAGGTATTATATTGTCTATTAAACACAATTTATTTCATTAAGCTAGCATTCTTAGTTTCCAAGATATGTAGGTTTTTTAAGTGACCCGAATTCATTGCTCTCGAGTGTATATATATATTATTAAAATATGCTGAAAATAAAGTTTCTTTGAATAAAAATGTTTCCTCGTCTGTTATAAATAATACATTCAGTACTTATATCATATATTTAAATATTTATGTATACCATTTGACATATACCTAAACCAAAGTTTGATGTTTGCGCAATTATCTTTAACTATTTGAACTTTCTAATATTATGTTATCTGTGATTTGAACTAAGAGACTCAGTAACATGTAAGTGGTTTGATTTTTCCGTTTCCCATATACCCTATCTTTTCCTATAGACCAAATTATTTTTATTTTAATTGAGCCCATTACACTTAGTCGCTGTCAACACAGCTTTTTATATGTTAAAGAAAATTTAAAATTAGTTTTTGTTAATTCAATATTATATAAAAATACAATAATCGAATAAATAAAAAACACAAATAAAGATATTTGAATATAAGTATAACTGTACTTATTATCGATGTAGACTTTATATAATAATAATAACTCTTTATTGCACACAGTCAAACATAGAACAATAAAGTACAATAAAAAAATGTTATACAAAAGGCAGTCTTATCGCTTACAGATAACCTGGTATTGACAGATACTATTTACATAGAGAAGGCGCACACTATACAGTATATTTATATGAAGTTGTCTATGTGAGTACGTCTCACCTATTCTGCCATCAAGGTACTATAAAGGTTGTGATGAGGCCGATATGTGACAGTGAAATTAAGGTACAGCATGACGCCATATCCTTCAGGAAGATAGCGATTAAGTGATACCAAGGAAGTCGCAGTATTACTTGAAATTCGTAGTGCTGCTCTCGTATATATATAGGCAATGGTTATCATTTATCTTCAGGCCGGCAGCTTATTTGTCTTTCCATTTAAATGGAAAACTCTTTTAAACGTTTCCAACCATATTTTTACATTGCTGTACGTTACGAAACGTGTTAGTTATTTCGTTTATCTTCATCGTGACTATCATATGTTCTCCGACTGTAGATGCTAGTAAAGTAATTTTTAGCCCCTGCCTATATTACAAAAGTAATTTTATAAAAACGACTTTATGTACAATGCTTTAAAGTCGAAATCCTCAAATATTTTTGCCCGCGACATATAAATGGAGTTGAGCAGAATAATAGTCAAGTTTTATCAAGATCCATTAGTGTAGACGTACAGATATAGTGTGAATTCAAGGACAAAATACAATCGTATAGTATTGTAATGGTATTGTAACAAATATTTCGTGCGTATAATGTAATTCCATTTACTTGAATGATTATTTTCAATTGCCTTTTTTTAATGTGCTGTTCCAAACTATTTAAAACTGTTCTTTGCTGCTAGCTTTTGCAGCTTAAACGAACGATAGGGGACCAGTGCAGATAGTATATAAACTCGTGGAAGGACCTATGGTGCGGCTGAAGGCCAACTCGTACCTAAGGTATACAACATTTAATGGTGGATTATGATACGAGGACAATTTTGTGTTTAAAAAAGAAAAGCCCATAACAGGTATTTAAAAGTAAAATATTGCTATTAAATTTGCATTAAAATAAAACATCTAACTTTATAGTTCTTTTTGTTAAGCTACGAAAAAATTACCTGAAAATATATTTACTGTTTAAAGAATTAAAGCCCTTTTTTAAACATACACAATACAATATTTAATTTATCTTTTACTGATTTCTAGTATTCGCAGTACGGTTGCTATCTGTGTTGAAACTTTATGTCATTGGTAGTCGGATACAATCAAGAAATCATTACGAATCGATTTTGATATAAAATGTCCAAATCGAAGCCAAGTAATGGAAATAGTTGATATTAATAACAAATCTAGATATCATAAAAACTTTATGAAAACATATACATGAAGATCTGAAGTAGATGTCTTTTAACTTCATCTTCCCATACTAATAGACAAGACTACCTAACTCTAAATGTACGAGTATCATGATGAGACATTGACGAAATTGGCAAGGAAGTATTATATTCCATATGGTATGGTTCCATGTGATATATTTTAGTTAAGTAAATTGAAAAAGTAACCGTAATCCGGTAACAACTGATAAGTTAACATAATACATCTATTAAGAACGATTTTTGAAAGTAGAGATAACGTTTGCGTGATAGAATTCATTGGCACTAACTAATAAATAAAATATTGCAGTAAAAGTTTTACATACAATATTCTATTACTATGTAATTATGAAGTAAAAACAATATATTTGTGTACTAATATCGTACCTAAATTCAATAACACAATAGCAAAATTTAATAACATCAAAAAGGAAATTGTCCAGACTAATCTAACTCAAGTTATTACAACTATGAATAACAGAATAAAGTTCGCAATTTCTAGTATTATTCTTACCTTAAATCTTTGTTTATTTTGGATTCATCTAAATGTGAAAGCTGTTTCTCTTTCATTTATAATAGAAAAAAATCCAATCTCAAATGCCCTTTGTCTCCAACAGGTCTGTAATTAAGCAAAGAATGGCGCCAACACATTTCTAGAGATTATCTCAAAGTTTAAACGAGTACATATCGCAAAGATCTCGGCAACTTTAAATTCGCACCTAATCTCGCGCTGTATCTTCTCCCCTTTTTTGTGTTTTAATAAAATAACTCAACCCAAAACAGTGAGGCTAACAAAAGCTATGAAAAGTCGTACCATCGGGTAATCTCGATAAAAACCGGTACGGTCGTAAACTTGACCCTCCGTTATCCTCTCAGAATCAACACGAAAACTAAAGAAACTCGAGCCTTAGAATGATTTACGTTCAGTGACAGTAAAAATGTAGGTCACATTGGGAATTAAAATTTTATTATTATAGGCATCTTATGGTCGATGCGAGATAAGGCGATGTAAACTCGGACGGACGTATCTCTTCAATTTTTATTCTATATTTATCCTTTAATGTTGCTTCAGTGAATCTATAAAGCGCTCTTTATTTCGTCTAAAATGGATCTCCGTACCAAGTTTGGTCTTAATAAAAAATAATAGGCTTTTTCATGAAAGAAGTGATTATGTTTAATTTAGATTCGCGCGTAGGGATTCAGTATAATGTCGATTTTTGCGCAAGTATTTCTTTAAAGTAATGCGTCATTAGAATATTCAAAATATACGGAACGAGTATTTTTCGTACGTTTGCATTTAAATATATTTCACGGATGTTTAATGACAAATTTTGATTGATGGCTGATCCCTTCAAAAAGTCAGTCGTATTAGTTATTTGAATAGATTTAAACTTCACCATATTTGATTGGAGATCGTAATCATCTCGGTAGTACTAAAACTAAATAACAAAATAATAAAATAAATACATTAAAAAAAACAGTAAACTTCTACTATTTCGTTATTTTGTAAAATTAAACGAGAATTGACGATTGTCTTTTGTTTTATACTACTAATTGATACATATTGCTAGTACAATTAAAATATATACAAATAAAATACAGAAACATAATAATCAAATAAATTCATCACTTTTCATCAAGTATTTATTCGGCTCGTATGAGTTCTGTGGCAAAAGAAAGAGAATAATAAAAATATCAAATAAGTAAATTATTCCAATTCTATATTTCTCATATATTTAGGAAATATTATTATAAAGTAAAAATCATATTTCAATGTCCTAATAATTAATCAGGCTTCAAAAAATATTATGGTCTATTAAATAACTAAAATATAATATAATACTAAATTAATAATAAGTAAGTAATTAATGAATAAACTAATATTGGTAAGTTGATTATTAAACATTTTCAAGTTTCTCGATGAATTTATTAGATGTATTATACTTTTATAAAACCGAAACAAATTAATTGAAAACTCCATGTAGCCATACTAAACCCAAACTTAGTAACAGATAATTGAAATATTTCAATTAATCCGACACCGCTTGATAAGAACTTGGACATTGATGAAAATGTAAATGCCTTAATCAAAATTTCGACATCGAGCCTGATAAGTTATGCGGGGCTAGATAAAATTCACGACAAGGTCACTCGAGTCAGGTGATCGCGATAATAGGCCTCACGCCCCGAGCAAAACTTCCGACTCTTTATCCCCGCAAAATCGACACGAAAACATTTTCAAAAGAAACTAACCATAACTTCCGTGGGCCTAATGGAAATTCACCCGAAGACTCCTTAAGCCCACTCCAAATGTGTACGACTACATGTTTTTCTTATAATGCTGCAATTGAGTTCGGGTTGTCGCTATTCTATTTTTTTCTTATTCATCTATATTACTTATAAAAATGTGTATAAGTTTGTCGTACTACTCGACTATATCTGCCAACCTGTATTATACATGACGTAATATTTGGAACTCTTATAAAAATTTACATGTTAATTATCGAGACACTTAATCTGTATGATTATGATATAAAGAACAGCTTTAATTCTTTAATTAAAATAATTTAAAGCAAAATAATATTATAATAAATTTTAATCAAGCGTAATAATTTCTTCATATTGGTACTTCTCCTATATTTCAATAACAATTAATTACATATATAAACATTCACAAAAAACAATCATTGTAATCCAACGCAGCACATCGAGACCGCGTATCCTAGATACCGGCAGCGTTGTCTCTTTGAATGGCTATACCCAATCTCTGGGCAAAGTAGCTACCGGTTCTCGGGTCACAAGTAACTTCGATGAGCCACGCTGATATTTTTTCTGTGTATTGAAATTAAGTTCTTTAAAAATAAATGTTGGTAATCTTTATTACAACAAACTACAACAAAATACTTTATATTTTAGAAACATACAATACCGTTTTGGTATTTTGGTTGAATTTAAAAATGTTCTTCTCTTGCTATTAGTCACTATTAGTATATCCTTAAATGACGTATAGGTTTTTTTATATTCTTAACTATTACTATGCGACTCTTGTTGAATTGTACTCGCAATTCTATATGTTATGTTCATTTGGTTATGAAATTCTCTCTATTACAGGTGATTAATTAATTTAGGTTCCGAATATATCTATCAATACTACCAAAACCGTTGATTTGGGATCGTAAATATGTATTAGACTAATAAACATTTTTTTCATTATAGGTGAGGATTAAGATCGCGTTTTGTGCTTACACAAAATACGTTTAATAACATTATCTACGAAAAATGAGGGTCGAAAATGCTTGTGTACATAATAATAATATTGAATCTTATTTAATGTTATTATCCTTCATGTTTTACGAGAATTATTTGGAACAGGCTTTTTTGATCTTTACTCTGTTTATATATGAAGGTTTAGTTGTAATAAAGAGAATGAAAGTGGATTGAATAAAGGCATGCAAGTTATTATTTAAAATCACTATTATTCTAAAACACTATTCGCCAAAAAGTTCATATATATATATAACTCAAAGGTGACTGACATAGTGATCTATCAATGCACAGCCCAAGCCACTGGACGGATCGGGCTGAAATTTGGCATGCAGGTAGATGTTATGATGTAGGCATCCGCTAAGAAAAGATTTTGATTAATTCCATCCCTAAACAGGGGATGAAAGTTTGTATGAAACTTTGTCAATTTTAAACCGATCCGGCTGAGACTTCAATTGCATAACGCTACTATGACGTAGGCATCCTCTAAAAAGAGATTTTGATAAATCCATTAAACACTGCTATATTTTTTCCATTAATTATTTTAATATAAAATAATCATACCTCTTTACTAAACACTAGAATAGAATAAAATAGAAAATAAATTAACTTTATCCAAATAACCTTAATACAAGCACTTTTGTAATCATTTTTTTTATTCTACCACTCATTCGGAACGTAGATTCATCGCAAGACGAATGAGTGGAAAGTGAAACGAAGCCTTTTCAATAAATATTATTTTAATAACAAGGACGAGGCATGCGACAAATATTTTAAACAGGTATTTGACTATTTCATTTGGTGTCTAATTTTCTTCATCCATTCTTACATAGTTTTGTTTGTATATTTTTTCTGGTATGCTCATGGTTTAGGTAATAAGAGTAACATTATCTATATTATTATATAACGTAACTCTGTACATGATTTATATTTTATATAGTGATGTACCAACCTTTATTCCGTAAGTTTTCATGTTCGAAGTTTACTATACATAATGTAAATAATGTGGATTTTTACTGCAATAGCCTTGAATGTATTTTTTGTTGATTTTAAAGGCATTTTATGCAGTATCATTAAAACGAGTTAGATATTAGGTTAGTATAATTATGTTGAATAAATAATAAATATCTATGAATAAATTTTTGTTAACTACACTTGCTTTACTATATTTGATATAATATGGACAATCAAGGTCTTATGGTAAAAACTGTATCAGGAGCAATTGTATAATGGATACATCACACTTAATTATAGTGCCTCGTCTTAATGGAGTGTGCTACTTTTTAAGAATTTTGCCTTTTATGGTTACAAAGCGAGAGCTAGATTCCCATTCGAGCAGTCCACGCCGCACTTATGCGGAATGCACGAAACAATGAACGGATGGCAGCTGTTCATTTCAGTAAGCGATAGCAACGTAGACGTGAATGAATATGAAAGCTCCGCATGATTGCCGAGATCCTCCTCTGAATACTCATATCACAAAACCTTTTGTTACGAGTCAACGAAAACATTTTCATTTCCTCGGCCACATTCAAGCTACGCTCGTAGTTTGTTTATCCGCAATTTGAGGATATTTGGGGCGCGTTCGATGTCTTTTGTGATTCTACGCGTACTGATTTCATTTTGATTGTGAATAAATTTTCGCCGAGAACAGAGGTAAACACTGATATTTACATAAACACGCCAAAACGAACGTATCTATTTGAATACGACGGCTTGGTAACTGTCGTTTGCTTGTAATATTTGCCTGTAATTTCCACCAAGTTTGTGACGAGCGACAGTACAATTTATGTTATTGTAATATATAAATTTGTTATAATTTTCAAGTTATGTCGTAAATATATCATATCCTTACAACTAAATGTTTTTCAGTTATAACCCATATTTCGACATCGTATTTTTAAGTTTGTAATGGCAGTCAATAATTATCTTTTGAGTTTAATAATATTTTTAGAGAAACTGCCTCTCCACTATATAAGTTTTAAATTATCACATGTAAATGTACTAATTTATAAACTTATTATAGTGGAGTGGCAGTTTCCTATAAGATAAATTAAATTATGTATGCTAAAGAGGGTTGTGGTCGTAAACAGGCGATATTTTTATGTAATTCGATGCATACTATCTGACGGACCACCTGACAGTAAGTGGTAACCGTCGCCTATATACATGAATGGCTATAGATATTAAGTTATCATATGACGTCCGTGATACTACTCATGCATCGCCATTCCGAAGGACTAAAATGTCATGCCTCTTATCCTGTAACTTAAATGCTATATATCTTTCAACCCAAACACAACTTATTAAACATGCGTCGCACCGACAAGCAATCGGCTGAAATATGTGTAATTGAGGTACCAGCGCAGACTACTTTTAAAAGTCTATATATTAAAATTTTGCAATTTAGAAATTCTATTTATCAATAAATAGTGATAGTAAGTATATCTTATAAGTAATTATATATGTATAATCTAAGTCTATAAAAAATAATGTTTATAGGACTATAAGAGTTCCCAACAATAACATAACAGACTGCGAAGTAAATTTAAAACATTGCGAATTGCACTGTACTGTATAACTGTACACGGATTGGACTGATTTAGAGTACAAACTATAACAATAAATCTGTCGTTTTTTTTCACACAGAGCTCCCGAGTAAGCCGGTGATCTTTGATGAATTCGGAAAGGAGATATCCGGGATTGCAGGTCCTTACAACGAAGGAGGCGATTTCAAACTTATTTGTTCTGTAAATGGAGGTAAGTCCATATTTTTGTTGCAAAGAATTTCCTTTCGGTAGATATGTACTAGCTAATTTAAAAATACAAAATGATTATGCACTTTTATATTATAATTAGTATCAGTGCCCTTAACGTACACATATGTATGATATTTGACGGCTTCAATGGTCTAGCGGTTTACCAGACCGCTTTATTTCCGAAGGTTCGATTCCTCGTACTATACAAAATTTGTAGTCATGAGTATGATAGTTTGTATCGGTTTAGATGTTTTATATGTATATTATGTATGTATTTATTTCTATGTCAAAAAGCTTTATTTGCAGTCTGTATTCATAATTGAAGGCATAGGTATTATAGGCCAGCTAAATATGGCAATAAATTACCATGTACGAGAACATAACCACAACCATCAGGAAGTGATTATATCACGATGATCTGGTACCACAGATGTCATAGTAGACATATTTAGTACTAGCTATAACACGCTATTCCGTCAGTGTGAAACGAAACTAACTTTTTATGAATATAAAATAAATAACAATAAATCTGCGAGTGAAACTCTCGTTAAAATCGGTCCAACCATATCAGGAACAGACACACATATAATACTATAATAATACACAGTACTTACATCAAACAGACGTTTAATCTTATTTATTTTTATAGAAAACCTAATGGTAATAATATCCATATGTTAAGAGAAGATGTCGGTTCCACTTTATTCCATTTCAGTCATATAAAAAATATTTTGTGTAGAAGAAATAATTCACCACATTACCCAATGTTTATTGTTTTTCTTTGTACTGAACGTAAAGGGGATTATCAACAATCAAATTTGCATCGTTGTTCCGATTTTATATTTTATCAGATTAAGTACCTTTCTTTTCTACAATTTTTATAATTTCATCTAAGAAACGAATGTTTTATTATATACAGTTAGTCGCCAGTTATGTTTATGAAACTTTACTACAAGTAAACTGAAATACCGTCGGCCTGTGTACCTTAGTTTCACCTATTTCAGCTGCCAAGCAGCTTGCTTTGTAAGCTTTGTTTCGATTGTAAGGTGCAAATTAGTGAGTATTTCAATTTCATGAGTCATACACACAGTGTCTTATTATTATTAAACCCCTGGACAATTCATAACATCACTTAGTCCCAAGGTAAGCAGAGCTAGTGTTATGCGAAGTAGACAACTGATATAAATACTTAGATATTTTTATTGTAAATAATATACATAGAAAACATCGGTCTGGAAGACTCATGAATGACATGACAAATGTTTATACCATACGACGAATCAAACCCATGACCATCGGAAATCGCAACCATGTGAAGCGGTATGCTAAACCACTAGACCACCGAGGCCGTCAAGTGTAGCTAAAGTTTCTTAATTAAGAATGAGAAACGTGTACCCGTTTTATTATCTGGTAAAGCACCGGCATTTTAATGCAATATTTTAATCTAATCAGGTAATCCAACACCAAGAGTACAGTGGCATCAAGGAGACACGATACTGTCTACCTTAGGTGCTGGGGACCTCCAACCATCAGGGTTAACAAGATCCCTTACGTTGGTTGTTAGAAATGCTACCAGAGTTCATCAGTCATCAGTATACACTTGTACTGCTGATAACACTCTGTTGGCATCACCTCAAAAGGTCACAGTACGAGTTAATCTATACTGTAAGTATTATACTTATATTTGTTTTATACAGTAGTTGGAACAATATTTAAAAAAAACCATCAGTCCATTTAATAGTATACATCATCATCATTATTATTTTAGCCTGGACGATCGCCACTGTATATAAGTATATGAATATGTTCAATTTAGATTCACCTTCAAAAAAAAGTTGAATATATATTCATTACAATCTCTAGACTAACTGAATTAAATATAGTACCAAAATTCAGTAAATAAATTTACCAAAAAAGAAAACATAAAATAAAAATACTTAATACACTGCCTATAAAAATAGCAAATGGCGGCACTTTCACAAAGTCACGAAAAAACGGAATGACATATTTGTTTGTTGTCGAATATTTATAGTGCTTTCAGAAATTTATTTTGTATCTAAACTTAGAAAGATGCCTATATCACACAAAACAGACTTCTCTGTTCTGTGTATGTCAAGATACATGAAAAAATGTCTGTTTTGATAACCTTTACATAGTATAAACAAAGTCGCTACTGCTGTCAATAGATTTTATAACTACGCAACGGATCTTAGTATTTTTCAGCAATATATAGACTGATTCATGAGGATAGTTTATATTTATAAAACATGCATATATAAATATATATACAGAAAAGCCGGGAAATACAAAGATTTGTAACCCGTGTTTCAAAGCCAAATCAACCAAATTGGTTCAGTCGTTTTTGCCTTTGATCGACCCCCTCCAATTGAAAAGGAGATGGCCTGAGATAAGATTCGAATCTAAACTCAGACTAAAGTCGTATTCGTCAAGCAGGAGTTGGCCTTCAGATGTTCCATAAGTCATTACACGGGTTTGGAGTGCAAACTACGCTTACTCTCGATTTTTCAGTGAAGCCAGTTGTAGCCAACAGCATTAGGATATTTAAAAAAAAAACAAAAAAACTTTTCTTGAGTTTTGCGTTCTTTATATTATATATGTATTATAATTTACCCTCAGTATACTTGGAAAAGAATATAGAATATGTATTAGATAACCTTGACTTTTATTGAAGTCTGTAGAAAATGTTAAAGATTACGCCTAAGTCTTTGATGTGGAAACTTTAGAACAACATACTTCCTGTTATTTTAATAAAATATTATACTGAAGCCTCTGTATGAAACGTGAATATTATCTCTTATGACAATAACCTCTCATGGGTTCGGCTTTTATCCTCCATTGGATTTACATATAAAATAATGAAAATAGTTTTTACATATTATTATAGGACTGTTAATCACATAACTATGAATATTGTAGATATTTTGCATTGAAAATCCTTATCTTATTATATACGCTAATATAATATTATAAACGCTAAAGTTTATGAGTATGGATGTATAGAAAGATGGATTTTTGTTACTCTTTCAGGCAAAAACTACTGAACGGATTCTAATGAAACTTTACAGCTTATACATCATAATAATACAGAGGCTATAACTTTCACGCAGATGAAACCGTGGGCACAGCTAGTTTATTACTCTAAATAGCTCTGTTTTAGTTTATTAAATAAAGTATCAATAGTTCCTGGGTATATGTCATTCAGGTTATATTGTTCTTAAATAGCTTTGTCTTCTTTAGCTTTGTATTAACGACAGCCTAAAGAAATATCAATACAATATTAATAAATCACTAGTTATGAATATAGGTGTAGAAACTATTGTTTAATATAAAAATACTATTACATTTTATATGTTTGATTACTTTTACAAATAACTATTTGATATAATAGTTTGAAAAAGAGAAATAATCTAATATTGATTATATAAAAAAAACAGATATTTTATTTAAAAACGCAATATGATTCTTTTGAATAAAAACTATTTAATAAAAGTAGATATATCTTTAAATTTATATAAAATTCTTTAATGGGAATACAGATTAATTTTCGTTATAATTACTTTTAATTATTTGGTACGATTTTATACACACTATATGTATGAATGCATTTTAAACAATTGTTTCCACTTTAGAATGAATTTATATACAGCATGTTCATCTTTAAAACTATATAATACTAATATATTTACATTATACTATACGGATATATTGACTGAAAAATAATTTCTTTATTTAGTGAGGCCACTTACCGTGGAAATATTGTCACGGGAGCAACCGTTATCGGTTGGTAGGAAGACTGAGTTGTTATGCAGATCGACTGGTGCACGCCCACCTGCCATTATCACCTGGTGGTTGAATGGGAAGCAGCTGAACTCAATTACTAAACACAGAGTGAGTAAAAATTATAATATAATATTAATATTTATTTATTTTACAAACTTTAGAAAGATATATTTTCTACATAAATTTATGACATATAACAAATTAAAAAAATTAAATCGTTATCAAATTAAGTCTCATTCAAATATATGTACATATATGTTAAAATATTAATAATATCTGTTAAAAATTTTTAAACAAGAAGTTACATGTTACATAAGTCTCAATACAACATGTCACTTACTGTCTTACTAGATCATTATAACGGCTTGTATGAAGGACAATAGATATAGAAGAGTATAATATTTACTTGATAATTTTGATATTTGATACATGGTTTCATATATACATAGAAAATGTAACCAATACAAACAATCATATTCAATACAAATGTGACAAATTGGACCCCTTAGAAAGTAAGGCGTTATGCTAAACCCTTATATCCCAGAGAGCGTCAATTAAAAGAATTTTCATAACCTCAATAGTAATTTTCAGTACTATTGACCAGTTATGAAAATTCTTTTAATGTTGGACAGCCCATTTATCAAGGAAGGTTATAACCTTTATAAGCTTATAGGCTATATAATATATAATATCACCCTACATCCAATAAGAGGTGAGTTTTAATGAAAAATGTTGCAAAAACGGGGAAAATGTCAGGCAAACGAAGTTACTCGGGTCAACTAGTTTTAAATATAATGACTGAAAAAAATACTTCTAACAATTTGCCACCTTATACTATAACCCTTATTATAATTAATACCATGTCAAATTTAACCTACTGATTCAAATACAGACCTCTTAGCTATCAACTAAGTGCATTCTCAGAAACGAAATAAAATTATTTCTCAAAATGAGAAATTTGTAACTCCATTTAATTTAATAGAATAGAATAGAAAATCATTTATTCAAATAAACTTAATTTAAGCACTTTTGAATAGTCATAACAATTTGTTTTTTATCTACCACTATTTAATTAATAAATTTTCTCACAAACGATTTATGTGTTTCAGAATGTTTCTATCTTATTTTAAAGCTATAAAAATCGGAGCGCCTTTATTAGCATTTAATAAACTTATTTAAATCAAAATTAATTACAAATTTAAGGAAAATGTAATATTATTGATAAGTAATGTATTATTTTTGTTCAACAGGAATTAGATGATGGTAATGAAACACAGTCCTTACTGCAATGGATACCATTTAAGGAACATAATGGTCAAGTGCTTACTTGCAGAGCCGAACATTCTAAATTCAACCAATCCACTATAGAAAGTAAACTACCACTAAACATTTACTGTAAGTTTTCAATTTTTTAAATATTAATTTTTTATTTCTAAATTTGAGCGAGTTTAACCGTTTATTGTACTCTGCTCTGGGATTGTAAAAGAGGTCTTTGCTGCACTAAATATTTACGATTAAATTAAATTCGTTTGCATGGTTGACTCTGTTTCACCTATTTAGTTGTCTTCAAGTAGTTTGTATGCAAACGACTGGTTTTTTTAACGTTAAAAATGATACTAAAGTGACTACAAATTATGTTTCCAAGTCTATATTCTCAAAGGTTGGAATGGGGCATGTTAAATATTTTGTGTGATTACAAACTGCCGAAAATCTAATCATGAGTGAAGATATATACTTTATTTATGATAAATTTCGACTAATATACCACAGAAGTTATTAAAATTCTTCTAAACAATGTCAGTCAGTGTTAAATTAAATTACGGCAGTATTAGGTAAATATATACAGTATATTGTTTTAAATTCCATGCCATAAAAAGCAAGCACGTGTTTTATGTAAGCATGTATTTTAAAACAATATATGATATAGGTATTATCTTATAGTAGCAAGTTGTTGCGAGATGCTTTTACTGAGTTTTACCTGTACGTATTGGTTGATACCAATAAAATCTATTGGAAACGAATAACTTTATTTCGAATGTTCGTTGAATTTTCTCTAGCATTCTAGTTTATGTGTCTACTATCTTTTACTATTATATTTATATTTTCTAAATATTATAGTCTCGAGAAATGTAATAGTATTCATATATATACGTATAATAAGGTTGCAATTACTATACATTTTAAGTAGAAGTTATAAATCCTTATAATTGGCAAAGTTTTTTTAATAAACACAGATTAACAATAAAATTGAACAACGTGATCTATTAAAATAAAAATCACTATATAAGTACGCTCCCTATATTTCGGTTTTAAATTTTAATTTATCTTCCCTTTTTGATTTTATACAAATAGTTTACGAAAAAGTGTGTATTTTAATATTAGATTTATTTCGACAGATGTACCAGTGGCAACTATACATTTAGGTGCTAAAATGAACCCAAACGACATAGAAGAAGGTGATGACGTATATTTTGGATGCGATGTAGATGCAAATCCTCCCGCTTATAAAGTCATATGGGAACACAATGTGAGTATTCTAGTGTCTTGTAGAAATGTACATTTACATTAGTTATTAATATTTATATTTATAGACTAGCTATTCCCGCGACTTCATCCGCGTGGAATTTAACTTTATATTTCTAAAATATAAGTAAAAAAAAACCTAGACTAGGTTACTCCTTATTACATCAGTCACCTGCAGAAAAAGTACCATCAAAATCGGTCCCGCCATTTCAGAGATTAGGCGAACAAACAGGCAGACAGACAAAAATGGTAAAAAATGTTATCTTGGTGTATGTCCCGTATTTATACTGATATGCATGTAGTAAAAAACTGTTATTATAGTATTTTATTTTAGAAAATAAAGTTAAATTCCACGCGGACGAAGTCGCGGGAACAGCTAGCCTATAATATATTCTCACGTCATCAGTCACTCGCCATATACAGCTCTATGCTATATTGTATACAATTTTCTATTATCAATTTATGTAATCTTGCTTTTAAACTTATTATTGTTAAGGGTCTAATTTATTTGTATATTCATTACCACCCCATATAAAAACATAGACAATAAATAAAATATATAAAACAGTTTCCAACAATGACCTATAAAATTAAAAATTTATTTCAATATCATTTACATTTTTAAGTGTAACGATAACTTGAGTAGGCACTTATTTATTAACTCTCAAGAGACGTGCTGCTTAATTTTAAAATTAAAAACTTTTTATACGAAGTCGACCTTACACTTTTCAAAGATAATCCAAAAAATAAAGAACCTTTACCAATATTTTTTTATTATACATCATTAGCACATTATTTCTTTGCTATACCGGTAAGCTTTGCTTAAAGTAAAATTTTAATTTATTTAAACGTTTAAAAAAGTAATAATATTTGACGGCCTTGGATCTGCAGCGGTTTACCGCTTTACTTCCGATGGATGCTTGTTCGATTCCTTGCACAGTGCAATATTTGTATTCATGAGTATGATTGTTTGTATCGGTCTGGGTGTTTTCTATGTATATAATGTACATATCTACAAAAAGAAATCTAAGTATTTATGTCAGTTATCTAGTGCCCATAACACAAGCTTTCTGCTTGCCATGGAACTAGATGGCGTTGTATTAATTATTCAGAGTTATTTACATTTTTATACTAACAATGCATATTATTGTTATATATTTTAAAATGAAAGACATCATTAAAGTTGAAGTCATAACTTATATATGAATTCGATGATCTAAATGTGATGAATTCTTAATTGTGGTTCGATGCTTTTTATGAGCTTTTTATTAATCCATAAACTTTCCTGTATGAAACCATAAAACTAGAATGTCAATGGTACGTGTGCATTCAAAGCGCTCCGCAATATTTTCAATACGACCGGCTTTTGACGGATGAATTAAAATATGTGAAGTTGAATATGTGAAAGGTTTATCGTATGTTTTCTATACGTATTGTTAATGCAGAGTTCAATAACGCTTGTGTAACACTATTGCAAATAACAAAGATTGTTTGCGATAGCAAATAGCCATATAATAAACCTTTAAAAATAAAATTATAAAATTCAAATTTGGAACGTCACACATGGAACATCGATATTGTTTTGTTTTACTCTTTTTACTTCTTCTCGAACATTCCGTGACGTCACTATTAAATTCAGTGTACAAATCCTACAATACCCATTTTTTATTTCAACATAACAACATAAAGATAGCAATATTACTCCAGCAAACAAATATTTTCATGTTATTGTTTTAACTTTTACTTATATAAATACTCAAACAAATATATAAAAGTAACAGATCATTCTCAATAACCTTTATTGGGAATTTAATATATCGATATTGTATAGATTGCTAGTAGAATTGTGTTTTTCTTTCTTCAACAAATCCATATTTATTTCACTAGTCATGTTTATAAAATATATGATATCATGACATTTAATTACATGTTGATATATATTTTTATCAAACCTAAAAACTTCTACAAATGCATTATAAATATTGGAAACTTTTATCACTTTCTATTAATCTGAGAAAATAATTTTAATCAAAAAGTTGAACAAACTTCAATAGTTTTTGGCAGTTCAAATTAATAATTGAGATATTCTATAACTTAGTTTTCATGAATTACGACCTATCACTATGACTATATAGATATGTATATTGTTTATTTGTTTGTTACTAATAAAACACAATTACATGTTCATAAAAATAGACAATACATAATACGACATAAGATTTTCAAGATATATATAGAAGAACCTAACTAAAGTTCTTATTTACATCTCGATCATATGCCTACATTTTGCATATATCTGCACTTGCCAACTGCTCTGCAGTTTTGCGAGTCATTGAATAAAAATAAATGCACCTTCTTTATTAAAAAAATAAATATATACACTTTCTTAGGCTACCATGATTTATAACCAACGCGGAAATACCTTACTTTTCGAATTTACCCACATGCTCAAAATACAAGACTCGGCTGAGTGTCCACCCCAATGAACTAGCTCAGAGGTTACTGACAACCTCCCAAAACGCCTGTAAAGAACGTATCTACTGGATTTGGATAAGCAAAACTCCAGTTCTTAATTCCTGAATGTGTACCGGAGGGCGTCATTAAATAAGAAGTCTTGCACTCAAGGACTACATACTCTCATTGTCATTTGCCAACCAATCCGATTATAGTAGACATACTGATCGCGGATAAACCAAGAACACTTTAAAACTCTTTATAAATCGAAATCACACCATTAGCGAATTTAACCTTCATTGTTCTTTGGCCATTTAGCCTTTATCAGTATTTGACATTTTCCGTCTTTTATCCCTGTTATATATAATACCAGCTGGACCCGCGACTTCGTCCGTGTGGAATTTAACTATATTTGTCTAAAATAAAAGTAGCCTAAGTAACTCCTTATTACATCGACTACCTGCCAAATAAAGTCCCATCAAAATTGGTCCAGCGATTTAAGAGATTAGCAGGAACAAACAAACAGACAGACAGACAGACAAAAATTGTAAAAAATATTATTTTGGTATATGTACCATTGTTTATATTCATATGCATGTAGTAAAAAAACTGTTATTTCAATATTACAAACAGACACTTCAATTTTATTTATATGTATAGATTTCTTATGTTATTGTTTTTCACCAGGGTATCTTATTGCAACACAATCCAGCAGGCGGGGTCATTCTAACAGGCAACACTAATCTTGCACTAAGAAACGTGTCCAGGCATCAAGCAGGGAAATACTCATGCACAGCTTCCAATGTTGAGGGCGATGGGAAATCACCACCGTTGCATATGCAAGTAGTTTGTAAGTACATAAACTTTACGTTACTATTCTCTTATGGTGTAAAGAAAACGAGTACTATAATATAATAGTTTTTTAACTTATTTTTTTAAATGAGAAAGTTTATTTATTTTTTTCATACACGCTTTAACAGCTCAATCCATTATCATGTTTTATATACTCGTAGCTTAGGCATTTTCAAAACTATCAATTTCAGTCTAGAACGATTAATACATGAAGAGTGAATAATATAGATATATACTCAGTTAACTTTAATTGAAAGTTATTTCCGATATGCTGTATTTACAACCTACTTTTCAATAGGATGTTGGTATAAAAACTCAAATACATCGAATGTATTTATATTATTTGGCTGTACAAAAATAGATGTTAGATAAAGTGGCATAAAGAACTTTTCGGGAAGTTCGCAGGAAAAGATTGTAAAAATACGGAAATTTATTATTCATTGTACACCATGGATGAATATAGTTGATACCGAATTCATTGGGGAAAGAATGTTATATGAGTTACAAATATTATTTATAACTTCTTCGGTGTAGGTTTTTTTATTTTATTAATATGCATCGTTGTCGTGAGAAAATTTTATTTGTGACCTATTTTATATCTTCATTTTATATTTATTCGTTTTTACAGAGACTTGTCAAAAGTGTTAAAAAAAAGCAACAGATAATGTTTTATAGATTTACTACAACCTGTAAAGCCAAAGAATAAGTTTATATTTATGTATTATTAACTTATTGAACAAATTATAGAACATCAATGTATTGATGTTCTATAATTAATAAATAAAAAAAACCTCTTTTTTAGTAAACAACTTATAAAATCTCTCATAGATATCCAGATATCTATAATAACAAAATTATTAATATAATAATAATCTCAGGTCAATTCACACAGCGACATCTAGATCCAAGTTAAGCTAGCTAAAGCTTGTGTTATGGGTACTAGATAACTGATACATATACATAGATTTTTTTGTAAATACATACATATTATACATAGAAAACACCCAGACCGATACAAACAATCATACTCATGAATACAAATATTTGTGCCGTGCGAACCCGCGACTATCGGTCGTAAAGCGGTGTGCTAGACCACCGAGGTCGTCAAAAATTATAATTCAATTTATTAAAGTTGCTAATACGTAATTTAAAATATTTTCTTAATAAATAATTCTAATAGTAAAGAAAATTGTCCACAGATAAGCCGATATGTCGGAAAAGAGAAATACGAATGATCGGCGCCGCACTTCAAGAGCCGTCAAGTGTGGTTTGTGAAGTTGACGCTTTCCCTCCTCCAGATACATTTGAATGGACCCTTAATAACTCAGCTGGTTCCATCAAAGTTGATCCAGTAAGTGCTATAATTAGAACTGAATTTTATTTATACATTGTCACGCTGTTTTTTGTGTAATGAATAAGTTTTATTAAAATTTGTATTACATCTCATGGTAATGTTAAAAGACATGTAAGTAATTTGTAATTTATGAGTTATCACTTACCAGATGTTTAATAATGCCAAGGCATTTCTCGCTTTAATATCTTCATACTTTATTACAGTACACTAGTCTTTATAATAATTATAGTTAATTTATTATTTAGATTTTTTTCAATATTTCGATAATGTCTCACAATCTTGATATTAGTATGAAAATAAATATAATATATGTATATACATATGTTATAAGTTTACGTTTACGGTAGTTTAATCATAAGTTTAAGGAAGTAAAAATGTACAAACGTCTGCATTACCTACTCATATTTCTGCCGCCAAGCAGCAAGTCCAAGCAGTGCTTTGACAATGCTTGAGACGTATTAGCCGTCTAGTTCAGTCACTATATAATAATATATTTTCCACATTAATGTGTATATGTTGATGACAGTTTCTCCATCTTTGCTTTGTAGTACAATAAAACGTATATTAGAAAAGTAAGCAATATTCATTATTAGAATCAATTAGAAAAGAAACTTTAATCATAATATATTTTCAGCTACGTTTCACTATAGAAGCCTACGAGGGACGGTCCGTGCTGTCTTACACTCCAGTTTCGGACGTCGATTATGGTACTCTATCATGTCGAGCTACCAATTTAGCAGGACAACAAACATCACCCTGTATATACACACTGCTACCAGCTACGAGACCAGATCCACCATCAAATTGTACGGTGTACAATCTTACTGACGACTCGTTGGATCTTATTTGTCTTGCTGGTAAGTGAAAAGTAACCTTATTCTGTTGAAATAAGAGCTAAAAGCGAAGGCATAATTTAAATGTTCAAACATCATCCATTTCGTTTCGACGGTTCAAGGCAATAACAAAAAATATTACCAATGTCGTTGACAATACCAGGCCCTGTGAACAAATTTTATGTCTTAAGTTTCTTGATGTACTTAGTACAAAACAGAGTCGTCACCGCTGTCTATTCGCTTATTAAATTACGTAACGCATTTTAATGCAGTATTTAGAAATAAATAAGAGTTATTCCAGAGGAAGGGTTATATATATAGTGTTATAATATAGAACTAGCCGAGGTATTCAAAGATTTCTATTTATAGGTACTGGGAATAATATGTTTTAAATAAGCATTAAGCCCCTTAATTCTTATTTAAAACATATTATTCCCACATTCTGAGTATTCTGAGTTACGGAAGATTTATTTCAATTATATAATTTCAATAATGAAAAAAAAATACGAAAAATAAGTCTTATTTTTTTATTCTGAAGCACTGCAAATAACTTCTAGCTATTGCCCTCTTTAACCATCAATTCGAATTTATAATGAACATAAAAAAATGAAGTGATTTGAATACAATTCGTATTTTTTGCTAGAATATTTCATTATTGTGAGGCAACTACAATGGTATGATAACAATAGCATCAATTGATAACTCGATATCTTTTCAATTATTTATTCAAAATTTTAATGCGAAATGTTGAATATAAAATATATCTTCTTTTCTGATTTCACTATTATTAATAGTTCTTAGAACAGTTATATTTCATTATACAATTTTGTTTAATATATGTTACATATAATTAAGAAATTGTATCTTGTAAAATAATAGTAGCTCCTTATAACATATATCTGCGAGTGAAAGTCCCGTCAAAATCGGTCAAGCCATTTCTATGATTAGCAAGAACAAACAAACTGATTTTTTTAAATTATACATTTAGTAAGAAGCTGTTAATTTGTAATTACAAACAGACTCTTCAATGTCATTTATAGGTATATGTTGATATATGGTATACTAATAAAGACTATGGTAATCGTTTACGGTCAGATAGGCCGTACGCTAGTTTGCCACCTTCGTATTATAAAAAAAAATATCATTGTGAATATAACGTTTTAATGATATGGACAATGTAACACGCTAGCCTAACTAGAGTGTAGATGGCAATGTGTGAATTGACCTGAGATTATTATTATTAATGACTATGATAAATATATGACAAACAAAAAAACTAATTCTTTCTTTTTTTGTTGGTCAAGTAAAGACAAGCAGATAAAATGTGCCTTTTTCGCTTTCCGAGTTGTCCTCCAGCCATTCCCTTAACTAATTACAAATATAAATCGATTCAAGGCACTATTACAAATCACGAAAATGGCTATTTTAGACTTCCTCTTTTATTAGAGGCGCTCTGAATTTCTCCTTTCGTTTTTTTCATTACTTTAACTGTTTGTTGCTTCACACTTTTCTATAGGGAAGAGTCACTTATCTGAGATTCCAATTTCTTGTATTATTTGTGATTAACTTTTGCTTTGAGTTCGAAAGTAGACTTTGCTTTCAGCAGAGACCGAATGAACTTCTTTTCTTATTGTTTCAATATGGTTTGGCGTTGCGAATATTAATAAAGAAATACTGCAACGGTAGTGAAACTATCGCTATATTTCTACTGTCTGTTTTACTAGTTATTACGGTATTTATTATAAAACGAATCTTGATATATATGATTGAGCTTATTAAATAAGATTCTATATATTAAAAAAAATATATTATATAATGATTGTATAATTGTTGGCTCATCTCTGTTAATAAAAACTATTATAAAAGAAATTAAACGTTAAATATTAAATTCAAATAGAAAGGATATTTTATGTACCTTTCTATTTCAATTTTATGTACTTGTATCATGTTTTTTCTATAAAGAAAGAAGAGTTACTTATGTATTTCACTTTTTTATATATTTGTATAAAAGATAATATTTTTTTATTATCTAAATTGATTTTGGGGTTTTTGTTACCAAACATGTCAACCCCATTATATCAAAACTACTAATTATAACAAGTCTTAAATAAACTAACTAAACTAAAAATACTCAACAATAATTACTGACTGAGAGGGATCTATTTATCAAATTGTTTGTATTAGGCCATACAAACAAAGCGCAATCTAAGAAGGTGCATGTATATATGTACCTGAATAATGCCCACATCAGATTTGTTCATTTTAAAAGTTTAATATATAGTTCCCTCTCTGCTCGATTTAAAGATAATACATGATTTTGTTCAAACACATAACATAGCACCAAACATCACATAATTAGTAGGAAAGTGATATAAGTAAACTATAAGGTTTAAGAAAAAAATCATTGTAGAACACCACAAGACCTGCAAATCAATCGCTGTTTGTTAGTCTTGTAAAAATTAAAAAACGGGTTGACCGGTTCGAGTATTTTGTTTCTGTTTTGTTCATTATATGTAATAAATACAAACTAGATACTACAGATACAAAATATAATTGATATTTAATTATTAGTAATAATTAAAAGATCAATCCTATCCAGTATGGATATCATACCTATAGATTACTTTTAACAGAGTGTTTTCATGATAATAAAATATTTCGTAGCTGGTATAAAGTTCAACGAGCGTCTATTCTGAAATAAAATTATTAATATCATCAAATCACTAATCAACCGCTTTGACCCTCGCCCCTGGAGTGCGATCTCTTAAAATACCCACTAATCTATAAATCCACTAGAACTTTAATTGCTAAAGGGTTATAACCTAATGAATGGATTAATCTCGCAGATAGAGTAAAATTAATCGATATTTTAACGCTGGTGTCTAATCTAAAAATCTAAAGCGCTATTCCCTAAAAACCGTTTAGTTCATTTAATTAACTGTAAACAAGTCTGGATAACAATTAACTTTATCCTATTTCAACGGTTTTTCTTCTCCGCAAAAAAAATAAAGTGAAAGCTATTAAGGAAATTAAAGTAAACGCCATCATGATAATATTTTTTACATGGTCCACGACATTGCAAATTGCATGTTTTAAATATTATACTTTAATTTTTATATTCAATTACAGTAATAAAGAAATATAATATTCTAGTCTGTGTATACTACAAAAAAAAATCAACTAAATCAAGTTATTTAGTTGACGGTGGACCAATGATCCGGTCAAGTACAAGTCAGTTGAACAATAATATTTTAGTTACATTCACAAATATTTTATTATTTTAGTTATTAGTACAACTAGTTTGCCCGTTAGTATTTTTCAGCATAAACTAATGAATATTTTACTAAAATATGATAGTCAATTTGTACCAACTTTTTTTTCAGATTACTTAATTGGTGTTGCCCATCAAAATGTTCTTTAATTATGCAATATCGTTCAGCGCTTTACAGATTTGATACGAAATTAACAATATTCCAATTAAAACTGTCCAACTACTATATCGAAATGGGATATTGCATCCTCGTTCATTTTTCGGCGAGTGCAAGTTCTGCTCTCCGGCAGTTTTCGATATAAGTGTACTGCATATGTAATACGCATTATTTCGTATTTATTTAATAAGTAATTTACTTTTAGGTTATGAAGGTGGCCTCCATTCTGTTTACATAGCAGAGGTATGGGCAAATGAAGGTTTAGTCGTAAATGCCAGCAATGCTGTGGCAACATGGAACCTTCGAAGACTTGGAGCAAAGAGACAATTGAAATTGGTCATATACGCTGCCAATGCTAGAGGAAGATCAGAGCATATAACATTTACAGTGGAAACTGCACCAAGATTATCACCTAGAACAGGCAAGTTTAATTAATTACTTTTTTTCGCAAATTAGTTTCAACATGATTGTGATTCGTAACTTAACATTTCTTTAGTGTCATATACCTAATATCCATTATTTTAGATATATGAAACATAGTAGTGAAAATCCATTCTTATGCAACAGTATTACCATTGATGTGGTTACCATTCCCCTTCCATCTTTAAGGAATATTTCTGTATTTTAGTCGCTAGTCCATCCATATGGATAATAAAGAAATAGTAGGACCCATTTCATTTATTCATAAACGAGGAAAAATTCTGTACAAACAAAGAAATATGACGTTATACTCATAATTCTTCTTACAACTCGCATAAAACGTTTAAACATAAGAATGAGGTATTTTCCTAAACGGTGAATATACATTTTTAATATCGAATTCAGTACTACTTTCTTTTTTCCTAATATTTGGTTATCATCATGTTTTGGATTTGATGTTATTTAGATCTTTATGATCAGGATTTGAGTATCTAAAATTAAGTATGTTCAACTCAAATGTAACTATTTTAACTTCTGTAGACAATATTTAAATATAATGTTACTAAATCACATGACTAACATCATCTTTACGTGTCCTTTTTCGTCTGAACCCATTTGGAGTTAGTTAATAACAAAGTTAGAAGACATTATTACAACCAACAATGTAACCCGAGGCCTAATATGACTTCCATAGAGATCTTTAAAGAAGAATATATGGCATATAAACATATAACATATAATCCCAGGACAATTCACACAGCGCCATCTAGACCCAAGTTAAGCTAGCTAAAGCTTGTGTTATGGGTACTAGACAACTGATACAAATACATAGATAATTTTTTTTTCGTAAATACATACATATTATATATAGAAAATACCCAGACCGATACAAACAATCATACTCATGAATACAAATGTTTGTGCCGTGCGAGGAATCGAACCCGCGACCATCGGACGTAAAGCGGTGTGCTAGACTGCTAGACCACCGAGGTCGTCAACATGCAGTATGCAGTACGTCGTCGTACGTCGACATGCAGTAACATTAACACTGGTAGACTATTGATTTTGAAGCTCATTATAATAACTGTTCTGAAGCCCGAATAAACAATAACTTGCATATAAATATTGAGAATTGTAATTTTGATCAAAAGTCAAATTATTTGAATGTTCAAGATTTAAATTTAATTATAGATAATTTATCAATAAAAAGTATTTATATTTACTCTGGGTCTAAGTGGTTACGAGTATTTTCATAGGTTATGGAATGAACTACTTACCGAGGTTCTCCTTAGAGACTACAGCATAAGGCACTTTAAAAAGGGCGTAAAAGGAATTCTTTAGGGTCGGAAATGTGCACGTGTCACTTTTGGTATTACGGGCTTTCATAGTACACGGAATTAGACTGGTTAAATGTTTTCTCATCTTTTTGTAAAGTTTAATAATAATAATAATGCAGTAAAGAAAAAAATATGTAGGTGTTGATTTTTATAATAATGAAAGGTTAAATAATGGCACATATGTTCAATTGTTACTCTTAACTTTCAAAGGGATACCTTAATAAATATAAACAGAACAAAACAGTCTTAACATACCCCATAAAACCAAAAACTTCGAAGAGTTCAGAGAGAACGAATAGCAAAAGTATTTCCCCCGAGAATTTAATATATCGCACGGAAAACTTTTAACATGTCTTTGAAGACAATTTAGTCAGGCTAAGTTCGATTAGAAACGCCCTAACTACATGTAGTACAACGGAATTACAGAACTACATATAATACATATGTAGTAATACGTATGTATATGAAGTTGTGTCTTTTTAATTTAATATTAAATAATTCGATTAATAAATTAGAAATATTTTTTTTTGTACCTATACTATATTATAAAGAGGTAAAGCTGTGAGGTAGTAGGGGGTAATTAATCTTTGGACCTACTGAACCAATTTTGAAAATTCTTTTACTGGTGGATAGCCCATTTATCGGGGAAGGCTATAAGCTAACATCACGCTAAGCTCAATAGGAGCGAACCTGTATTGAAAAATGTAGCAAAGGTAGGGGAAATGTGAAGCAGATGAAGTTACATGAGTCAGCTAGTATAATATTTTGGACGGAATGTGTGTATGAAAAAAATGAATTCCTGTAAGGATATTAATGAATATTTTGATTATCAATTATAAATAACGACAATCTACGAAAATAGAGAACGTTGTAGCCCAATATATTACTACGCCGACTTAGACAGACAGGTCGTGAGTTCACATCTAGCTGACGTTTGTATCATCTAAATTATAATATATAACTACATCTAAATTCATATTATTAACTGACTCTCTGAGGATGAAAAAACTGATAATTAATCAAATTATTCCGAGAGATTTTGGTAGATTTGATTTGTGGAGGTCTAGTGTGACTTCGATACATGAACATATGAGATTTAAATATAACATAAAAATACATCACGTCATTATATGATGCTCGTGGTACTCTTCATGTTGCCATTCCGGATGACTAAGATTCCTGTAATTCGACATCACGTACTTTACCTGATCACAATTTACAAAACATGTTGCTTAGTAGCTGAAATAGGTAAGCAATAGATGCCTACGTAGAAAACTCTGTAGAAAGGCTCCCATGATATAACTATTATTAAATATCATATTCAATAACTATTTCAATACATTTCAATTCATTTGTAATTATAGTATGTTTAAGGACTAGAGGTAATAAACAAATCCTATTATAATGGATCATCAACATCATATATATAAATAAATATGGTAATGGTATACTTAAATATAAAATTAAAAGGAAAGTTGGAAATATCTTAGAAAATAAAGAGAGAAATGGATGCTCTTGCACATTTAACTTAAACTTCGAACATTGCTGTAAAACTCGATCAGTTAGAAACTTCGATTAAAGACACTCTGTGAGTTGGTATCAGTTCTTGGCATCACTTTTTAAAAGTTGTATATTACTAAATAATCATTATTGATCAAGGATTTCTGAAATAATAATGGAAATTAATGACTATTAAGTCATTAATGTCCATTATTATTTCAGAATCCCGAATGAGGTAATCAAAGGACACTACTTGGGCACGAATGAATGACAATAAGATGATGAATTCAGGTCAGTTGGCACTACCCGCATCATGGCAAATTGGCACCTTGATATATTTGAGTAGATATAGAATATTGTCAGCACTGGGGAAAATATTGCCCATTTCTAGCAATCCGCAAATGTTAACAGTGTATCTTTGAATCTGATGTGGTAGAACTACCTTTTCTCGTATTAATGTTGATTGTTATTCGTATTTCCATTGCTCGAGTCAATTTTTGTATGTGTTATAATGGAATGGTACACTCGTCTGCGATAACTGTATACCAATGGACTATGTCAGGATGACTATAAAGTCAGATATTTGATGTTTGATAAATTAGAACTCAACTTTGTGATCTAAATCGTGATAGTAAACCACTAGTGCAAGATTCTCTCACAAATATATTAACTTAGTAATCACTATTAATTTTCTCACTATACATTTAAAAAAATTATCTTATTTTGTATATTAAAAATAGATGCATATTTTAATAAAGAACAACTACGGGTTGCTAAACTCTTTCATTGAAAATATCCAATCTTATTTCATGAATAGGTTAATGTATAGAACGCTCCATTTAAAAGTTCTCTGTCCATGAAAATTCGACACCAACGCGTTCCCGTCTTGAATACATAATTAATTCATCAATTTTCAAAGTGTCTCCTAAAATATATTAAATTATTGTTATATTGTACACAGAAGCTCAAGAAGCCTGGGAGGTGAATTGGGCGATAGGTGGTGTTTTAGGTGCCGCTTTGACGGTGGCCATCATTTTATGTCTCGCCCTTATTGCTACGAGAATAAGGCATAGATCGAGAGATTATGAAGGTAAGTACTTACACTCCTTTCAGTTTTGTACAAAAACAAAGAGTATTACAAGTTCGAGGTGTTTGTATCATGTAGTGACTTTGAAGCTTTAGTATAAGTAATTTATAAACTAGACTATTTCAATATTAGTTTAATATGGATGTCTTTTTAATGAAAAATGTTATAAGGATAATATCTATTTATATCTATTTATGTATCTGGCAGTGCCATCATAGCTTCTAAACAGTGAGGCTGATTTTAATTCCTTAATTTTGTTTCAAAGTTGACGTCTCATGTTGTTTCTTAGCTATAGCTTATCTCAATCTTTCCACTGAAGCTAGTATTATGATACTATCTGTATCCCACAGCACCACTTAAGTGAAGTCAGGAAAAAAAATACATATATACCAAATTGCATTAATATTTTATACTACAATGGAGGCAAACAAGCCTAAGGTCCATCTCATGATAAACGATTACCGTATATTTATATACGTAGATTAATTTTTGCTGGAATGAGTAATAAGCATCTAAACAAAATTGAAACAAATTTTGATTAACTTAGTATATCAATTGATAGCTCCTGAATCAAAATATACTAATAAATAAAAACTGGTGAAATCTTAACTTAGCGCAGGAATTAGCAAACCATCTATATACAATTAAATTTTTAAATCCTCGTAGGTATATTAATTTGCGAGTAACTTCCACTTGAAGCTCATGGAACGAAATTCCAGACTTAACTCATTAAACCGTCCGACCCAAGTCCTTTTCGTCTGTAATTACATGTAATTAAATTTCACAGTAACAATGCCATCGAGCAAGAACCAAAAAACAACTTTGCCGAAACGAAGCTCGCCTCACGGACCGGACGAGAGGAACCCTGACCTAATACCCTTAAGTAAAGGTAAATACTATTTAATTTATACTCGAGTATTATCGTTCCATCAGCCATTTGGACTTACTTAAGTAAATAAAATTTTGATGGGTAGAAAGTGACATGTTACTCTAGAAGTAATGGTCGAGACATTACTAGGTTAGGTACACAATATTAATATTGTTTTTCAATTAAAAGTAACAAGAGCTGAAATTCATGGTAAAATTTCCATGTGTTTGAACTGTTGAACTTTGATATAGAATTATTTCAATCTACCATAATAATTTAACACACTTTTATTAATTATTTCTCTATAACACATACATTGTATGTACCATATTAAAAAAACATTTTTATATTTATTGAGTTAAATTTAAGATTTCTGTATCCAAGTCTGACTCTGACTCATATATGTGAGAAAATATAATATTTAAAATTTTCTGAAATCGCTCAACTATTTCAGAAAATTATAAATATTATATTTTCATAGTTTTATTCCAATATTTTTGTCATAGTTAATTGTATGGTTGGTAATTTTTAATACATTAGATTGTTGTCCATGTTATGTCCATCTGTTGTATTAAAAAAAAACTACTTTTCTATATATACTCTTTTTATAACTTTATACAGTATATTGTACATCAACTGCAAACACTGTATTCACCACTAGAACTGTATATTAAAAACATATTTTTCTAACCAAATATCTCGTGAATATCCAGCTGAAAGCCGACGTCATATCATACGAGGAGCGAACTGTGTCACAGATGTCGCCAGACAGAAATGCGGCAACTTAAAACTCGAATTACCCTTGTTTTGTTACGTGCGGAGACTTGGCTCGTTTTACTTTAAAACTTCACTTATTAGGCAGAACTATCCTTTTACTCGAGCGTTTTAGGGTTGCTCGTAAACGGAAACCAGAGTGCTTAAGCACTTACGTTTTGTTCCGCCTAGGATTGTTGAAAGTGTCGTGTTTTAAAATGTTTAATTTGGGAAATCTTGAGAGTACTAGCAGAGTTACTAGTTCATTCATGTTTGCTTAGTATAAATTTCTGATTATTCTGATATCTGAGATATTATATTGTATGCAACTCGAATGCCTTCTATTACCTAGAATATTATTTCAATTAAATGTAATATATTACTACTACTTTCTAGTCGTCTTTTCCTATTACTAGACAGTTTTTTTAGGGACGATAACTAAATGGTGCACAGAAAAGATCCTGCGCTAACGATATTTGCAGATGTAACATATTTGGAAGACAATAGGATTAGAACAAAATCAGATTACTTAGCATATCGTACTAAGAAAGAAAATCGTCATCATCCTAAAAAGAAACTTATAGTTAGACCACAGGAAGATCTAATATGGTATTACTAGCTATGGGTATTCCGTTATTTATAAAAGATTAAACAAAGTTTTTAACGTCGATCAGATGTTAGGTTGGAACGACTTTTCGAGTTTATAAATGGGCACTTCAAGCTCATACTTAAAAAGAAAAGAGATAATGGCTGAGATGATGATGATAAAATGAATACAGTATTACTTGGACTAAAAGCAACCTATAGATACTCCAATAGGATGTTTCCTCATACACGTGTTTTAAGGTTATTAATAATTCAACTCCTATACGTTGAAGTAGGTGGATACGTAGATACAAGAACTTCCTGATAGAGAAAATTGAAATATTATACACCTAACTCAAGACAGAATTTATATAAAATATTAACACTGATATCAAGCTCGCGACTTGCCCTGTATGAAAATATAGACATATAGTGTATACCCTAGTAGAATCACTCACATTTCTTATCCCGAGTTCATTTTTCGAATAGGGTGGATGGCTTTCTGATATTACAAATGCAAAGCAAATTTTTAATCGTTACATTTTTATATGAAAATTAACTTTGGAACTTAATAATAATAAAGTTCATTTTCACTGTTCTTGTATTTCCATTTCTTATTATCAATGACTGTCTAGATGGTTTGTAGTACTGTACATGTAAATCTATTTTCAGTATAAAGGCTATTAATAAATTGTGGGCTAAATCAATTTAATTGTTCATTATTAAAGTAATAACTTAATTGATCTAAGTTTATTTAATCGGTTTCATGTTTCTATAGCCATTTTAAGATTATATCACGATCAATCATTTCATAACTTGCCACAAATGTAATCAATTTTACTATCATCGGTTTTTAGTCCTTGTTATTTGGGATCGGCACATCCGACAATATTATTATCTACTAAAATTTTACAAACTTTTAAAAGTACGTTTTCATTTATTATAGTTACTATAGGTACTATAAAATACTGATTATATTGTTATAATCAGTTTTTTATATAATAAATTGTTATTTATTTTGATTTTGACTTGAACATAAAAAAATTGTATTAAACTATATTTTGTATTAAACTAGTACCTGTAGTCAAAATCAAAATAAAAAACAATTTATTTATGTGGGACATTTGAGTCGTTTATGAACATTAAATTTTTTGTATTATATTTTTTCCTACCATCACTATACAGAATCAATTGAGAAGAACTGGCAAGAAACTCAACTGAATTTCTTTTTTTAATAGACTGTTTTTACTTTTATTTACATTGTATACTTATGTAGATGTCTATGTCTAACATTAATTTTGTATTCTATAATTATTTTAAGTTTTGTTGATGTTTAAAAATCTTTCTTTATTATATTGCCTTGCATTTATTCCATTATTTGAGGTAGGAGCAGTATGTAATATTTTTCCCCTATTCTCTATCAGCCATCACATCTGAGCTTACTGTCCTTTTATACATATCACCTTTTACACAATCCATCCAAACTTTATAAAAATAAAAATAATAAACTACTATAAAATTAATTGGAAATGTTATATTACTTATATTAATCTACGCATGCTAAATTAGAAGCAATTAAAAATGAAAAATAAATTCGTCGCGTAAATGGACGAACTGTAGAGAAAACGATTACGTGTTTGAAGGTCATTAACAGGAAAGAAAGTCACGGGGTGGTAGGTAATAATAAAAATAATAATTACATTTACAATTTTAGTGTTAAATTCTAAAAACCAAACTTGTTGAGTTGAGTATGCAAATTTCATTAAACAGAGCCAGTAAGTTGGAGCTACGCTTGTATAATTTTCAGCTCAAGCCGTAAGGATTAGCGGGTCAAGTTTGTTGCCTCTATTTATTTTCTCGTATTTATTTATTTGTTTGTGTAGATCAATACTGCTTCGTTGCGAGCGCCGAATAATTAGTTTAGTGTAGTAACAGGCCACGGCTTGCAGTTAACAAAGTTTCTTGGTTGCAACCTTTTTATGCAATCACTTATTCATTCTCAGTTTGTTAGTTGTCTAATTTCTATGTAAATTGCTTGGCTGTTTCAGCGTCTCTGAATTTAAGTCTTCATTAATCATATTTAGAACTTGGCGTTATTATAATTGAGTTTGAATTGATTTTGTTGTTTTACTTGTTGCCTTTCTCGGTATTATTCCATTGTAACGTAATCATTATGATGGAAATTATGTTGTACTTCATGGAAAATATCTACAAGAATGACGTCAGACTAAGTAATAATTGATGTAAATAATACTACTTACCAACTATAGCTCTTAATTTTGAATTGAAAAGGTCTTTATTAGTTACTTTATCCATAATTATTATTATATAAAATAGGGAAATAATTATAGTTAGTCATGATCAGTGGTTTACGCCGAAAGGTCGTTACTTCAAATCTTGGTGACTAAGAAACAACTTATCAACTAACAAACTAATCCGCTAGTTGATATTGTCTCTGACTACTCCAATCTGATATAGTGTTTGTGTATAAAATAATATGGGAATATAAATTAGTATAGAAACAGTTGACTATCTGTTTCTATACTTTTATTTATGTTAAAAGTACTTAAAGTAAATAATTAAGTTCACATAAGTTCTCTCTTAAGGTTTGCACAGACAATCGAGTGACAGTAAATCTCTGAACTTCATATTCTATTTTAAACATAATATAAAATGATTAAACACATATTTGAACTGAATAAAATTCATTTTGTTACAATACGACTAAGTTAAATCAGGCTTCAAAGGAATTAGTCGAGTATGAAACATGTTAACCTTCTAACCGTGATCATATAGTACTTAAGCTAATTAATATGATTGCGGTCAGGACACGGGAGAACGCATGCGAAAGTATGTGTACTCAGAAGCATAAGTGATAACTAATAACTGCAAATATGTGGTTTGTCGGAGGTAAAACAGTTTATACATTAGAACTAACTATTAGCCGACCCCGTATACGTTGCGATGCCATATGAGTTAAAATCGCTATTAAAAAATAGGGGTTGGTGATAGAACGGTGAAAATTTTGGGTTGTTATTTGATGGCCTCGGTGGTCTAGCGGATTAGATATTTCAGATGGTCGCCGATTCGATTCGCAAGTGTGATAGTTAGTATCGGTCTGGGTATTTTCTATGTATAATATATATTTACGAATATATAAAACCTTTTTTGTAAATTTTGTGAAATTATTTCGAAGAAAGTACTGCACGGATTTGAAAAATTCTTTCATCATTTAAAATAATTACTTTTCCAGATAAATATCGGCATTATATATATATATATATATATATATAATACAGAAGATTTTGGTATTTGGTATTTGCCAATATTGTAAAAATAATACAACTCCCATGACTTAAAAAATCATCATGTCAATATTAATTCATAATGAAAATTTTTAATATAATAAAGTTTGGAACAAATACATAAATACATACTTACATTACATACAAATACATACATTTCTTTCTGTATATTTGAATCCAACAGGGAGCGAACCTGCCACCATCACTCAGTTATTTAATATCGATGTTTCCTTTACCAGAGAGTCAATCAGAAATATATAAAAAAGCACAAAGTTTTTCTTTTATCTAAGCCAGTATTGAACTAACGACCTCTTGAGTGTAATTCGGAGTAGGAAACCACTAAGCCACTACGGTCTTTGAATTAATTAATGAAAAATATTAATTAAATTTTTGAGTGTTTGCCTCGGCCATGATATATAATTATGAGGCCCTGAAGTATCGAAAATAATATCCCTCGTCCTCCACACATTAACTTTTTAATAAACGGAAGGTCGACAAAGTGGTCCCATAGGCGTAATATTTTCATTGCTTAGGTATCTTGTATTGTTAACCTGAGCCGCCGCTATATTACTAAAGCAACAATTATTATATGCACTTTTCTTATATTTATTTATTTAATTCACGCTACATGACCCATTTTAAAAGTACCTTATAGATTAACATATATATGAAATAATCTATACATCTATATATAAATGAAATTGAAGTGTCTGTTTGTAATATTGAAATAACCGTTTTTACTACATGCATATGAATACACCAAAAAAACATTTTTTACAATTTTTGTCTGTCTGTCTGTCTATCTGTTTTTTCCGGCTAATCTCTGAAATGGCTGAACCGATTATGACGGGCTACTTTTATTTAAAAAAAATTAACATAATAATTTTATAAATTTAGGAATCATCATCATTTCATCATCATCATTAAATTTAGGAATATAAAATCTTAAATATAGAACTCAAGTGCACCAACAGTCGAATAATATAATAGTAGTGATATTCTATTATTGCATACTCAGATATTTTTAATGCTCAGGCATCTTGGACTGTCAACCTGAGCCGCCGCTATACGCAGCAGTGGCCGCTGCGCCTAAGAATTCAAACAGCGCGCACAGCTTACCCCGCACGCAATCGCCGAGCACGCCCACTTCGCCACACGCTCAATACACTGACTCCCAGGTTGGCAAACTAACATTTAATACTAGCTTTCAAGTCTGTAGATAAACAAGCTATTGCATGAATGTAACTAAAGATTCGAACAGCGCGCACAGCTTACCCCGCACGCAATCGCCGAGCACGCCCACTTCGCCACACGCTCAATACACTGACTCCCAGGTTGGCAAACTAACATTTAATACTAGCTTTCAAGTCTGTAGATAACCAAGCTATTGCATGAATGTAACTAAAGATTCGAACAGCGCGCACAGCTTACCCCGCACGCAATCGCCGAGCACGCCCACTTCGCCACACGCTCAATACACTGACTCCCAGGTTGGCAATCTAATATTTAATACTAGCTTTCAAGCTTGTAGATAATCAAGCTATTGCATGAATGTAACTAAAGATTCGAACAGCGCGCACAGCTTACCCCGCACGCAATCGCCGAGCACGCCCACTTCGCCACACGCTCAATACACTGACTCCCAGGTTGGCAATCTAATATTTAATACTAGCTTTCAAGCTTGTAGATAATCAAGCTATTGCATGAATGTAACTAAAGATTCGAACAGCGCGCACAGCTTACCCCGGACGCAATCGCCGAGCACGCCCACTTCGCCACACGCTCAATACACTGACTCCCAGGTTGGCAAACTAACATTTAGCATACAGCTTTTAGACAACCGACCAAGATGTTGCATGAATTGCATGAATGTAATTTAACATATGTTACAATAATATAGTATACAAGCTATGAAAAATTATGATTATTATAGATTATTATTATTATAATTTTTTTTCGTAAATACATAGAAAACACTCAGACCGATACAAACGATCATACTCATGAATACAAATTTTTGTGTTTTGCGAGGAATTGAACCTGCGACCATCGGAAGTAAGGCGGTGTGCTAAACCGCTAGACCACTGAGGCCGTACAATAACTTGTAAACTACTAGTTACGTCTTGGTCAAATCTATACAAGAAAAGTACCAGCTTACATGCAAAAAGGGAATGTTTATAGTCGTTTCATTTAAAAAAGCTATAAAAAATACAACTTAATATAGAACCTCATTCATGTTTCAATTGTTAGGAAATAGCGAGCACTGTTACCGACTTTCTTTTATTTCTATACAGTCATACAGATCACAATTTATTATATATTTTAGATAGTTGTCGAGTTCATTTACATAAATCCTACAAATTCGAGAATATATATAATATTTATTAATCAATTTAACTTTTTTATGGTATTATTGATCAATTAACACTAATAAAAAAAAATAACCCTATCCTGGTTGAACCTCAATTGACATCTTTTTTACAAATCTGTTTTAAAGACCAGTCATTTGCACCCATTCCATTTGTTTTATTTTTAATAACATATAAGTTAATATACTTCGTGCATTTCCAACTCATTTTCCTTAATCATATAAGATGAAGTTGTAGAAGCTTAATTTTACCAATATATTTATAGTTACACTATTGTCCATTTCAAATAAAACTAATTTAAACAATACTACATGAAAATATTCGTAACATAAATAAAAGCACTGGATGTACAGTGATATTTTTATGAATAGCAGTGTTTATTTTTAACTATGAATAATGCTTACCGCCTAGATAGTCGGCTCCCTTTGTAGTATCGAACTGGAAAATTATTTTGTAATTTTTATGTACAAAACTTTTTCATTTTAGTACGCCAATCGAACATTTTTAAAAGCTTTTATTTTATTTAAATTAGTTAAACTAGATTTGTATAATACTGGTAAAATAAAAATGTCTGCTACATTGTTTCGGGTACACGAAATGAAGGATGAAATTAAAATAAAAAGATAAAGAAGTAGAAAGAAAATGAAGATAGTAGTTATCCTAAGGATGATAAGATGTAAGGATGATAATATTGTATTATTGCTTGCTTACTGGTTCACCACATAATGCATTATTTTTTATATATAATATTATTACTTTTACTTTAGATTGTATAATTTGTTATTTTACCTTACCTTAGGTAGGTAATTGGTGAAAAAAAAATGAAGTCAAACCTAATGAATAAAAATAAATAAAAATACGAATTACTAATTGTACAATCGAAAACAAAATAAAATTAAGTAAACATATATATATTATTGTATTATTTGTACAGTAAAGAAGAAGAAACAATAAGAGTGACATGAGGTTTTTTTTTTGTGAATGATAATGTAATGGTGCACCTGCCTGCGCTAACGGTTTACGCTGGCAGGGCACCAGTGGAGGATGATAAGATGAGCATGAGATCAGGTCAGTTAGCCCATCGTGACAAATTCACCAGGAATTTATCACGATGGTTTCCAGGGGGAACCGCGTGGAGGTCGACCTGACATGATACATTGCTAGCAATGGGGTTATCAATCCACATTACTAACAATCCCCTTCCCCCCCAGTGACATGAGGTTACCTAGTTCTAAACTAATTTGCCAGAAATTAACAACGTTAGTATTCAAGCAACTCAGTAGAGACTAAAATAATATTGAGGGTGAAGTTAGATCATGTACCCCATTGTTGCCAATTCACGATATACTATGATATCTAAAAGGTCCGCGTAAAAGTTACCTATCAGGGTACATCGCCAGTAATGCTAGCCTTGTTACTAACAAACCGCGTCACCCCTGACGCAAATACTATTACGTACAAAACCTAATTAATGTTAAGCCGTAGGTAGGGTCACTTCTGCCACGGTTGATTCTAATATCCTCGAAATTAATGTGGGCTAGCTGAGTTTAATAGTGACCTTTATGGGGCAATAGTACATTGCGATTTAAAAAAAAATATTTCTGACTCGAATTTCTTCCTTCCACATTATAAAAGGATCTTCATATGGTTTTCATCACTATTTAGAAAATTTCTTCCGGAAAGATCATATGTTATATATGTATTATATGATGAGTTATATTTTAACAGATAAATAATACGTACAGCTAAATCGAGTGCGGGGTAGATAGTAATATTAACAGAAGGATAAATTATTACTTTTCTTCTTATACTGAAATATATTATCTATATTTAGCATCAGGTATAAAGTAAATATTGGTATGTTTAATAATATTCAGATTCCATCTTCTCTAAGTCACAATTATTGATATAGCATTTGAATGCTTGAGTTATTTCAATCATATTTTAATATCTATTTCTGTTCATGGAGTAGGCGTTTAATATTTATTATGAATCAATAGCTTCTATTTATTATTTTAATGGCTACTTAAATTATATTCGATTATTATAAAAGATTTATTTACCTAAATTATTAAAGGTTTATTAATATTATAGAAGTTTTTACTCCAAATTATATTAAATAGTTAAGTAGGTATAATATTATCTTAAGACACTGTGGAACAAAAATAATATAGAAAGTGTTTCCCTAGTATCTTATATTAAATTTCTTTATTAAAATTTAGGTAAATACTAATAATATTTCTGGACAATTCTCACAGCGCCATCTAGTCCCATGCTCAGCAGAGCTTGTGTTATGGGTCCTAAACAACTGATATAAATACATGGATATACATTTTTTAATAAATACATATTATACATAGAAAACACCCAGACCAAAACAAACAATCATACTCATGAATACAAATGTTTGTACCGTGCGAGGAATCGAACTTACGACTATCGGATAGTAAAGCGGTGTATTAAACCACTATAACACCGAGGCTGTAAAATAATAATAAATGTTACCTTTGAGCTGTCTATATATTTGATTGAAAGGATAATCGCTTCTTTAGATCATTGTTGCAAATATTACAATTTATATCATAAGAGTTCTATTTATACTACCAATGTGAGAAAGAAACACATAACCTATTTAGTGGAAAAAATATCTGACTTTAATAAAAATTATAGATATCATGGAGTTTATTGTTTTGAATTATTTAATTTAGTTTTCTTATCTTAAGTAATAAAGAGTTACCGATTGTTTTATGAAAGATAAATCAATCTTAAGATATACAAATAATTTTTTTTGCAATTAGAATGGTACATAAACTGACTGCCTATCTAATGATAAGTGGCAACCGTCGCCTATATGTACGAACAGCATTCATCAGCATTAGTACAGCATCATTATTAAGGAGATCTTGTTATCATATGATACCCGCGTTACCACTTATATTTTGGCAATACATAAGTTGTACCTTGATTCCAGAGGATAAATTGTCATCCCTCTCCTCCCTCCCTCATCCCTAAGCGCACCCTACAAAAGAAACAGCATTCAAACCAAGCTGCTAGGTGAGACTAAGCTTCCCATTTTACAGTCCCTGATGATTATTTTTAAGGTATTCATGTTAATATTGATTTCAGAGTGATTCGGGTCGCAGTGTGGTAAATGGTACGATGAGATCACATCGCGAAGTAGTAACTACAAGAACGCCATTGCTAGCGGCTCATCAAGAGAGTTGTGTGTAAAATAAAGAAATTATTTTTATTTTTAGAAAATAAATTACCTCTAATATTTGTCTTGTCTTAGTTAATTGCGGTTGGAATTTTTGAAAATGAAATGAGTTGTTGCTAATATTCTTTTTTGCCATAAAAATTAAATACTTAGATATATTAATTTTGCGTATTAAACGAATTATTTTTATTTCATTTGATTTAATTCAGTTAAATCTCTATCATTCATATAAATATTTATAAGTACATAAATTTAATAATCTTGTGTTAAAATTTATTTCAAATCTATATGTGAATTATTAATAAATAATTATTTATTAATGATACTCACTTTTGCAAAATGTATACAATTATTTCATTTAAAATTTAGTCCATTAGGTATTTATGAAGCAATTAAGCGAGAAATTTTGCCTATCTGTATATTACGTGGCAGATTAGAGACTTAAAATAACAATATCGTTTAGCGAATAAAAACTCTCGTTCTAATTTATTAATTCGAAAATTTTGATTTATTACGTTCAGTTGCGTAATATATAGACGGGTGCAAGGACAATGACTGATAAATGATGAAATTGTAAATAAAATATTCCTTAGAAATTATCAAATAACTATATTATAAGACTAGGTAGGTACTCTTTAAGAGAATAAGGGAATAAGTAAAACAGGCTCTAAGCTAAGTGAATAGAGTATCTATTAGTGTAAAGTTAAAAAGGAACTGTATAAATAAATTGTTTTTAACATTCATTAAATTATTATTTATATAATATATTTTTTTTAATCTCATCGCACAATCGATAGAATAATAATTCCTGTACAAATAATTATTGTAAATGTAAAAATGAAATTTATTATATTATTATACAGTTATTATTAATTGTTAATAATTTATAAATTAAATAGATAAATTTAATTACTGTTATTTATTTTTATTTACATAAAATAAATAACGACGCGTTCTATATTAAATAGATTAGCTTAAAATTTATAAACATTGAAATTTTTCTTTTGTGTATACAAGTTTTTTATTTGATTAATATGAAACCGTACGCTGTATTTGTTTTAATGTTTAGTACGATCGCGATATATTATATTTTTTTTATTGTATTGAGATACTTGCTTAATTATAATTATGTTTAAAAGATTGTAAATATGCGATTGATACTGATTGTATGTAAAAAAGCTTATTTACTAAGCAAATTGTATTTGACACGGATTGTTCTATGAATGAGAGGAAAGTACACGATCTGTTTGCATGGAGTCTAAATCAATTGCTCATTACTATTTATGAATTTAATCTTTACGATGCACGGAGTTATTAAAGTAATAAATAATTGAGATAATTATTAACAAGGCAAAAATCATTTTTTATTACATGTGATTCAATAAAATATTGAAATTTAATAAATTTGTTTTATTCTCAAGGTCAAACATTTTAGAGTTGTGGATGTATATATGAAGATATGGAGACGCATACAGTGTCTCCGTATCTACATATATACAATGTGTATACAACTGTCTGAAACTGCAATCTGATGGTGCATCATTATATGCTGCTGAATGGGAGAATAGATAATCCGACAACCCTGAGGCGTTGTTCCTTATATGCCCCACGGCGGTACCTGCGACTACGCACGTGTCGATTACTGTCGGCACCACATGTTCGCACATGCACTGCCCAGTTTGCTCCTACTTATCAAGCTATCTCACTGCTCAATAGCCTGGTTCCGGAGCGGCTAGAGATCGATATATTTCATGACAATATTAATAAGTTTCTTGAGTGTTGTTTGTTATTTTTTATGTTATATTATTGGCTCACTACACGCTTCGGTTTATCTGTAAGCGTGGTGAGCACCTTACGAGATCCAACGTTAAAGCTGACTTCAAATTATCTATTGTTACTCGTACTTACAAGTCAGAATAAACGACTTTAATTCTATTAAAAAAAAATAGCAAAATTTCTCTGCGCTACCTATGGTGGATAGGTAGAAAATGCCGCATGGTGTTAGTTCCGTCAAACGTACCGATACTTTTTGTACAGTCTGCATTAAAGTTACATTAATAAATAAACTAACTTCCGCCCATTAGTCACATTTCTTATCACCAGTCTCATTCGAATTAAATAATACGAAACAGAAAACATAAATGTAACATTTGTGACGGATCGGTGGACTGTATGTGTATAAATGATGAAACCGCGTAGATTTTGATAGTAAAATACATTAATATGCAGCTGCGAACTATAGTAAATCCAATACGTGAAATGTATCAAATAACATGAGATATAAAAAGAACATGTATGAACTCTACAGTTATTTATTTCTAAAACAAAAATAATAAAATGATCAAAAGAGTTCGAGGCAGTCGCCAACATAATCTATCAGGTGTTCTAATTTCCAGTCCACACCATGACAAAATGTTATATTAGAACAACTGTAACTCGCAGATGTAATAAATAGTATTCCATGTGCCATTCCAGTTTGTCGTTCACGTTTGTGTACGAAATTTCATTCGAATCCGTTCACCCGGTTAAGCTTGATTGAGTTACAAACATACATCCCAATACCTTTGAAAACGTTCACGAATATTACTAACACGAAGATTCCGTTTTACGGTATGATATCACAGAGCACTACATGTACATATGTAGTGCTTTCGTTTAAACCACTGAGGGCTGTTCCTAACTTTACTGTTGCTTTCGTTTGAACCACTTTTCAGATTGATCTAGTAACAGTCTAGTCTAAAAAGAGATAACCTTGAGTAAAAATGAATGAAAATAGAGAGGTGCTTGTATAGACGTTTATTATAGCAGAGTGCAGTGACAGAAGTGTTACAAAACAAAAAGTATATAAGGAACATCATATTTTGAATATGGATAAAAGAATATGTAAAAACTGCCAGTGATTCTTATTGTAGGTCTAATACCTTGAGGACTAGCTCAATCTGGAAAGCGATATAAACTAATTAATAAGTATTTTTAACTTCACACTCAGAGATACATTCATCTCTGCCTCACTATATAGATATAATTTTTTGGAAGGTCTTTTACCTAAATTAAAAAAGTTATTGAAAAGATAGAGTTACCTATATCCTAGATATCATGAGATCGGATATAAATAAATTTCAAAGAAGCTTCCTCTCGTAGATAGTCACTAAACTGTATGAGCTCTTTACAAAGTTTTCCTAAGAGACTGCAGAATGTAGGAATTTATTCATGAAGAGTTAACAGATATTGCGGGTAGTCTGTAAGCTACTATAATCGTTTTCCTTTAGGTATTATTGTTAGTGATCATTCTAAAGCGTATTTTTTTACTTAGTTGTCATTTTCAGAATATACAAATAAATCTATTATTTATTCAAGACTAGATTACTGCTGAGAAACCATTTAATCTGCTTAAGATCTAGCTTTAACGTATTGAATTGCTTCAACTGGAAATAATTTTTCTCTAATCTATACATATAAATAAAATTGGAGTGTCTGTTTATAATATTTAAATAACAGTTTTTTACTACATGCATATGAATATAAATACGGTAATAAATTATTACACCAAAATAACATTTTTTACAATTTTTGTCTGTCTGTCTGTTTGTTCCGGCTAATCTCTGAAATGGCTAGACCGATTTTGACGGGACTTTTATTGACATGTAGCTAATGTAATAAGGAGTAACTTAGGTTACTTTTGTTTTAGAAAAAATCTATAATTACTTTTTTGTTAAATTCCACGCGGACGAAGTCACGAGCTAGTGTAATAATATAAAGTTTTAATATTTTAATCATTTCTGGCAATGTTTCTTTTAAAATATCACATAAGATCTATTAGTCTATCTTTCAATTTCATACAATAGACGTGGATGCAGTAAATACAGTCTCCGCAATTTTATTTCACTTCTGCAAAATCTACGCGGAGTACTAGCAAATTCTACAGGTTATATCCAATGCTCTATAATTTCTCTAATACAGCAAATCCAACTATTTTCTGTTATAAACAGTGTGTATATATATACATAGATATAACATTTACTTCGCCTTGGTATGTGCAACGTCATCAAACACTGCACAGTTATGATTAGAAAAATTATGATGAAGAACTACCTGTTCATAAGGAATCCGGAGTAAATTAATTGAAAGGAAAAAAAATTGCGATAAATAATGGCGTACAAGGAAGCTCGATATTCGAAGGCATTGTACCAAATGATGCAGGTCGAACGCACAAAGCGTTTGTCCCACGTCGGAGAAGACGAGGCGTTAGGACCATTTGTTACGCATTCAATGCTGGCCCTGGCTATTTATCTCCCACCATTGACTGGTCGAGTCGTCGATCAATTCTGAGCGTTTCTATCTGCGATATATCAAACGTTAATTCCATGTTTAATCTTAATGTCATTGAGATAGCTATATTTTTGCTTTTATTTCATTTTGCAATGTGCAATATATCTGTTGCAAGATCAGTATCAGAAAATAGTAGCAAAGATATTGCGTATGTATATGTGTGTACTGAATACGAGAAGCAAAAACTTTGTACCCCTTTTTACGAAAATTGCTCCGTCGGTCGATGGAGTATTAAATTTCGCACACATTTCCTTTTATATAGAGAATGAGGGAAAGTACAGAATATTAATATATTTTTTTTTTAATTAATCATAACATTACATACATTAAATCTATAAAAAAAAAGAATTTTAATGAAATTGAAGAATTATGGTGATCATATATACATTTTGGCATTCATATTTGATCTCCTTTTAGTGCATTGTCGTAACGTATTTGAAGAATTTAAGTCCATCGGTTAATGGAGTGATACATATTCTACGTTACGTCTATTTAATTTTTTAATACAACTGAAATACAGACAAGCGGAAAAAACTTGACAAACTTGGCTAAAAATACTTGACATAGCATAAACATGATACTATGGCAATTCTTATAATTCCATTGTGACACCAAACATCTGTAGATTTTCTGAATAGAGATAGAATTTACTTTTTTGTTGTATATGAAACTGTGCAACTCAGTTCTCACTGTTCGGAGCGCAATCAGTGCCTCTGTCCATTGACTATGATGCCAATGGCTATATGTGATACTACAATGGAAAAATAAAAACTAATTACTCGCAATAGCACAACCCAATCTTATATGACTCTTAACACTCGAACCTTACAAATAAAGGGGGATCTGTAACCTAAGAGACTCCTAAATACAATCCAATGACCTACTCGTCCTTTCTATTAATCTTTTTAACAGCCGTTAAAGAGATTACGTTGCCTGCGAATGGGCACCCTATTCTTTCAAGAGCCTAATTAAAATCGTCAATTTGTAAGGATAAGGCCGACTTATCCTGGTTTAGCCCAATTTAGTGATTACACTTTGGACGTATCATTTCTATTGTAATTTGTGATAAGCTAATTTGTTTTATGAAATTATTATCATTTTACGTTAGATTTTCGAATTTTTATCTAAAATTTTGTTAAAAGTAATCTATATCATTTTCAAAACATCTCAAATAACGATACTTTTGTATGATTAATACAAAAGTATCGTATAATGTAATTTGTGTCTATTTTTTATAGTAACTGGTAGTGCAAATAAATAGCTGTCAGTCCATCAAGTAGTAAGGGTAACCGTCGCATTTATGTAAACATATATGGAAAGCATCTTAGACACAGACGCCAACAGTAAAACAAAGTCAATTCAACAGCTTCTTGATACAGTTTGTGACAACATTAAATTAAATCTTATCTAAATGGTTGGTAATGCATAAATGAAAATAATTATCTCTGATAATAAAAGCGTTGAATGCAGTGTTAGTCGCTTACCATCAGGCAGGCTGGCTACTGAAAACCCTTTTTTATTAAAAAATGAGTTTTTTTGTTTTAATATTTTTTTAATAGATTGTGAGAAGATAAAACTGCATGCATCTGTAACTATGTATTGCAAAGTAAGCAGGTAGGTTTCTTTCAGGCAGACACATTTTGTCTTTTTTATTTTTTCTATTTATGTAACGGGTTAAATAAAGTTTTCAAAGTACAACAAACAGACAAACATACAAGTGTCACTCGCAACATAAGATAAAGTTTATAAGCAAAAACAATATATATTGTTCAAAAGAAGTCAACACAATTCAAACTCGAAGCAACGTGATACCTAGCTTGGCACATTTTCAAAGTAATATAATACCACAATTGTTGTTCAAAAACTTCTTTACAACTAGAAAAATCTTACCAATTTATACCGTAGCATAATTTCCTTTAAAATGGTTATATCCAGTATCAAAACTGTTACGAAATAAAAGTTGATGACGCTATATCGTTTTCTTATACTTACTAATATTATATATAAAATACGTGTATTTACATAAGTTAATTTATTAGAATAGAAAATTATGGACATATGTCAAATAGAAATATTTCATATTATAAATATTCGAACTAGCGACTGGTGGCCAGTATATGACAGTCCTCCGCCGCTATTCTGCAGTATTCTATTCTATTTCTGGATTCCTGGGGCCGGTAGTAGCTGCTCCACGTGCCTGCGCCACACAGCTCCCTGGTCGGTCTGTACTTCGTAGTGCAATCGTCCCAGTCTATTCAATATGTTGCCAAATTCCCATTTTGGCCCGCGTACAGAGTAGTTTCTAGCTTGGACCCGGTCACCTTTTGTATATATTTGTTTAACAGGTGGTCTGTTATTCGATTCAGCTACTGCTAGTGCTGGTGTGGTGCGGAACATAACATGGAGCTTGGTTCTGACGTCTCGATTGAACAGAAGCTGATATGGTGTCCGACCGTTCGAGGTTGGTGTACGTCTGAGTCGTGTCTTAATGATCAGAAGTTTATCGTTAAGGTCACCCCTCTCCCCCTCCATTGCGCGTAGCGCCCTTTTTATTGTTTGTATATAGCGCTCTGCTTGGCCGTTAGTCGCTGGATGGTAGGGAGCTGATTTCGAGTGTTTTATACCACAGTTCGAAAGGTAATATTCAAATTCTTGAGATATAAATTGTCGTCCATTATCTGATGCTAATGTATGTGGTATTCCATATGTAGTGAACAGTTCTTTCAGTTTAGCAATACACCACGAACTTGTAGTAATTTTAGTAGGGTAGATTTCAACCCACTTTGTGAAGGCATCTACGACAACAAAAAGTTGGTAACCATGTACAGGTCCGGCAAAGTCGATATGCAGTCGTTGCCAGGGTTCTGTAGGTTGTACCACCGAAAGCACCGCTACACCCAATGGTGTAGCGGTGCTTTCGGTGGTTCATTCTGTTGTAATCGACATGCTCTGCAAGATTTTACCTTGTTTTCAATATCTGTGTTTATATTTTTCCAATATATGTAACTGCGTGCTAATAATTTCATTTTAAGAATACCAACATGTCCTGCGTGTAGTTCGTCGAGAACACGGCTACGTAGACTGTGCGGTATTACGACTCGGGTTCCTTTCAAAATGCAATTATCTTGAAGTGTAAGTTCGTTATCGTTATAGCCGTGTTGGCGTACTGAGTGACCTGTTTTTAGTGCTTCCAACAATATTTTAAGTTCCTCATCTGTCTTTGTTTCTTTAGCTATAAGTTCTGGTCGGACATCAAGCGTATTGATTTGTTGTTGTTGGAATGTGTAGTGTTGATCTTTAGAATTTTCTTTTACATATTCCACTGGAAATCTTGATAAATAATCAGCATTTGAATGTTTTGATGCCGGTCTGTATTCTACATCATAATCAAATCCTGATAGAAAATGTGCGTAATGGAATAGTCTCATTGTGCTTAAGGCTGGTAGTGTTTGGTGTGGGTGAAAGATTGAGGTAAGAGGCTTGTGGTCGGTTATCAGTGTGAATTTCCGACCGTAGCAGTAGTGAAAAAATTTCTTTATGCCCCAGAAGATGGCTGTAGCTTCTTTATCGATTTGACTATATTTCTTTTCGCTGGTTGAAAGTGATCTAGAAGCAAATGCGATTGGCCTTTCAGATCCATCCTTTAGTTTATGAGATAGAACAACGCCTAATCCTGTTGGAGATGCGTCAGTGGCTATTATCAATGGCTTTTTGGGATCGAAATGAATGAGAACTCTTTCACTCAATATCTCCTGTTTAATTTTATTAAAGCTTGTTTCACATTTTGAGGACCATTGAAATTCTTTTTCTTTCTTTAGTAATTCATTTAGAGGATTTGTTATTGAGGCCAAGTTTGGTATAAATTTGTTATAATATTTTGCCATACCTAGAAAGGTTCTTAATTCATTTACATTTTTCGGTCTCTCTGTTTTCATAATCGCTTTCACTTTGTCTTTATTTTTATGTAGTCCATCTTCATCTATTATATGTCCTAGGTAATTAATACTTCGCTTAAAAAAGTTACATTTTTCTCTGTTGACGCGCAGGTTACTCTCTTTGAGTTTCTGAAGAACTTGTTTCAGACGTGATAGGAGTTGATCTTCTGAGGTTCCTTGAATAATAATGTCATCAAAGAAGCATTTGACTCCATCTAGTCCCTGAAGTAATTGATCCATAAATTTTTGCCATAGGCTAGGTGCTACCTTAACACCGAACATCAATCGATTCACTTTATAAGTGCCTTTGTGTGTACTTAACGTTTGTAAAAGTGCGCTTTCGTCATCCATTTCTAAATTTAGATAGGCTTGTTTGATATCTAAGGTGCAGAAATATTTCCCTCCATTCATTTCTATGAATATGTCTTCTATTATGGGGATTGGGTATTGTTCATCCTTGATACATTTGTTAAGGGTTACCTTGTAGTCTGCGCACAAACGGATAGTGCCGTTAGGTTTTACGATTGGTACGATTGGAGTACCCCATTCCGCATGGTCCACTTTAGTAATGATTCCTTCTGAACATAGTCGCTCTATCTCTTCATCAACTTTTTCCTTTAAAGCATACGGTATACGACGAGGTTTAATAAATATAGGTTGTATGTTTTCCTTGAGGTTCAAATGAGCTTGGTAATTTGGTATTTTTCCTAAGTCGGTTCTAAATACAGTGTTCGTATATTCTTCTAATAATTGATCAAGATTCGTAGATGGTTCTGAATTTCGTATTATATTGATATCTGATAATTTTATTGTAAGTTCTTTCATCCAGCTTCTCCCAAAAATTGCGTCAACATCTTGGTTGATTATATATAGTTTTCCATTAAAGGTCTGATCTTTGTATGTATATTTGACGTAGGTGACTCCTGAGGGTTTAATAATTTCTCCAGTGTATGTTCTTAATTTCATATCAGTTTTGAATATTCGGTTTCCGATATTCAATTTCTTGTATTGTTTCAGGGATATTGATGACAATGTTGCTCCAGTGTCAAACTCCATACTGATTGGTCTGTTCTCAATTTTTATTTGGATCATGTATTTTTCTGATATTTCACTTTTCATGAGATTGATGTCTCCCATGTTTTCATCACTCGTATTACTTGTAGTGTCATCTAATTTATTCATATTTGTATTTCTTTGTAAGCAAACACGCGCTAAATGACCTGTTTTATTGCACTTCATGCAAACGGATTTTAAGGCACCACATTCTTTAGACTGGTGGTCATTTTTTCCACATCGGTAGCATTTTCCTTTCAATTCTTTTATTGTTATTGGTAGTCTTCGATTTTGTATTTGAGATGGTGGTGTATTAGGGAAATTGTTTTTATTTGTTATATTTGTAATTCTATTGAGGCTGTCAGAATATCGGTGTGCGTCTGTAGACATTCGTATGTTTTCCGATTTTCCCATTTCCATGGATGTAGCCATTTGTACCAATCTTGTAAAAGGTGGTGTTTCTCGCTCTTGTAGTATTCTTATTCTTATATCACTGTCCTTCAATCCTCGGATAAATTGTAATGATATGAAGCTTTCTAAAGTTGGTTTATGGCAGCTTTGACATTTAAATTCACAGTTATTGGACAATTTCTTTAATTCGGAGGCGTACATTGCTACTGTTTCATCCTGTTTTTGTACCCGGGTAATAAATTTATGTTGTAATGCCCATACACTCGGTTTTGGATCTATGTGGTCATCTAGTATACGAGTAAGTTCTATAAAGTTCATGTTAATCGGATCTTCAGGCGAGCATAGGTCGTGTAACTTTTCGTGAAGTTCAGGAGATAAGGCAGATAGTAATATATATACTTTCATTTTAGGGTCTTCTATGTTGTTTAATAAAAAATATACTGTTAATCTTTTCGTAAAATTTTTAAAAGTTTCTTTTTCTTGAAATGGTTGGAAATTCATTTTGGGATTTCTGTCTAGACGTGAATTGGTGCTCGAAGGTGATGGGGATAGCTGTGGTGCTGCGGTGGGTACGTGATTTCTGTTTTGTAGTATCAAAAGTTTGGTCTTTAAAAATGTACATTTCTCTTCAAAGTCGTATCTGTTCTCTATTTCTTCATTAAGTTGTTCTTCTGGTGATTCTGTTTCGATATCATGTTGAATTTCTTGTAGTTTTCGTAATGTTTCTTGAAGCGATTGAAGTCTTGACTGAATTTCTTCTTGAGGGATTGTTTCGTTAGTGGTTATATAATTTTCTAATTTTGTAAGTAAACCCCGTAGCGAGGCTCGTGTTTTCTTCAATTTTTTTATATCGATAGTTGACATCGTCGCCAATTTATAAAATACGTGTATTTACATAAGTTAATTTATTAGAATAGAAAATTATGGACATATGTCAAATAGAAATATTTCATATTATAAATATTCGAACTAGCGACTGGTGGCCAGTATATGACATTATAAATGTGAAACTCTGTCTGACTGTCTGTCTCGCTTTCACGCCAAAACTACTGAACCGATTTAAATGACATTTGGTAGACAGATAGTCTAGGTCTTAGAAAGGACATAGGCTACTTTTTAATGCGAAAAAAGGGTTGTAAGTGGTTGAAAATAGAGATGAAAGGTTATATGAAATTATCGTTATTTTACACAGTTGAAGTCGCGGGCACAGCTAGTAATTTATATTGACTTGTATACTTTATAGTTTTTATACAAAATTATAATAAGATATATGCCTATTTATTTTTTATGTAATTAGAATCTCAATTAAACTAAATGAAACTGAAATCAACGTAATAGTAAGTCATCTATAGGCATGAACATTACTAGATCAAGTTATCACGTGAAGCCCTAATACTCCCGCGTTGCTGAGAATTCCATTATGGTTAACCAAAATTTATATTAAAGAAAACAATACACTTTGATGATCTTTAGGATCTAGTTAAATTTGTAGCAACCACCTGCTCTGTCCGGAAAGTTTTGAACTTCATTTGTTACAATAACCTACATTCAATTGTAGGTCAGGCAAATTTACATGTAAAGAATTAGTAAATGGTTTTTAAAGATTTAGATGTTGATATTTATTCAATAGTGAAATTTTACTTTAACTTACATTTTATAATTCTAAGTTGCTTATTAGTCAAGTCAATAAATCGCATTGCAATGCGACTTATCGGCGCAAGAATCATCTGAGAGAGGTATATTTTACTTATTACATTGACGATCTTGGTGGTCTAGAGGTTAAGCTCCCCGCTTTTCTTCCGATAGTCGCTGGTACAATTCCTCGTACGGTGCCAATATTTGTATTCATGAGTATGATCGTTTGTTTCGGTCTGGATGTTTTCTATATATATTTTATATAGATATAAATATACTTTAAAAAATCTAAGTATTTATATCAGTTGTCTAGTACCCACAACACAAGCTCTGCTTACTGTTGGACTAGATGGCGTTGTGTTAATTGTCCAGGGTTATTATTATTATCATTTTATATATATACTTTTTACAAAATTTCCTCTATTCTTGGGTGTTTATTCTTCGTAAATAAGCGCTATCACTGAATTTCAGATTATTACAAGCATTCTGTTAGAACTTATGTATAAGTATGTACACCGTTGAGGAAAACGCAGAACAAGCCGTCGGAAATATAGCGACATAATCTGGATTGTAAGGTTTTTTCCACACAAAGTCGCCATTATGTGTTTGTCTGAAAATTTTACTTACGCTGTGCTCGTTTTGGGGTGTTAATATTACAGGGGCCCGGAGATAGAGCGCGGTTCTTTTTATCACGCCACGTTGAAAACTGCATTAAGGAAGTGTCATTTGTAGGATTTTATATTATACAACACTGTTCTGTTGAATACGTGCTCATTCGTGTTGATATTAAATAATAAATGATTTTTTTAAGTAGTTACAATGGCAAGTGAAATCCGACGTCTATGTATATTTTTATTTAATTATTTCAGGCACCTAGGCCCATATTTTAAATACCTTATAGACTAACATACATCATCATCATCATCATCATCGCAGCCCGGAAGACGTCCACTGCTGGACATAGGCCTGGGAGGCCCAAAGATCTCCACGACGATCGGTCCTGCGCTGCTCGCATCCAATGCCTTCCCGCGATCTTGACCAGATCGTCGGTTTAATTAATTAATATTATAAAACTAATATATTGATATAGTCTGTGTGGTCACGGCACTGACGACGAAATCTGCCACGGTAGCGCCGATACACCACACTCTTCGGCCGGTAGTCCTCCTTCAAGGTGGGCAACAATAGCATGTGGACCCAGGACACAAACGCCTTAAAACTCGCGTTGTGACTCGACTCCAGCTGCGTTAATGTCAGGTTATTCTTAGCTTTTATCTAATCTAAATTGTATGAATAGCAACACGGACATCACATAATCATGCGTCGCCCGTGATTAATTTTGGAGGACTAAGATGTCATGCCGCCATATTCTTTAATATCACTACCTTATTTTCAAACCTTACAACAAAACCTTACCTTTCATCTGAAACACAGCATATAAGGTAAACTCCTGAAATGGGTGAGTCTGATGTACCCTCGCAGACGACTCCTTACAAAGCTTACCTCAATTTTATTAAGTGTGTCTAGAAATATGTTACTTCTAAGGAGTGTGGCCTTAGTAGTGTTGCAATGTAATATACATTTGTATGTCTACGCTAATGTAATTATTCTGAAGTGGAATAATACTTCAATCAGAGATTGAAAGAGCAAATTGAGCATCAGCTTTATGAAATAAAAAAAATAAGATACAGCGCTAACGGGGAAAGACAATGGAAAGAGGTAATGTGATATCGAAACGAGATATCTCGGTAAGCCGACTTAACTTAAGTGACTTTTTACGTTAAAATCGTTTTAAGACGTTTATAGCGAAAGTGTTGGATATAATCAATTTCTTTTTACCCAGATGTTCCCATCCCCATGGGCGGTTATTGGATCCCTTATACTCGTAATATGCGGGATTTTATTTTCACATATTGTCGAACTAACGCGGGCGCGCTGTGCGCGCGTAATCATTTTTCCCCAGATATTGTTTTAGTGATTACGTTGGGTTGTTTGGGCGTCGGATTCTATTGCCAGCAATGAGAGGTTCAGTGAACTGTTTTTTTTTATTTCGAGATATTTTTTGGCAGCTCCCAAGTTGTTATTATCTTCGCAAAACACGATTAGAATAGAATACAATTCTAAATATAATTTTCCTTAATTTATTATACATAGAGTATAATTAAGGAAAATTATATTTGCTCTGTAAGTTATTTATTTCATACGATCATGATATATGTACATGATGATCATGTGAATTAAATAAATTGGAATTCAGGATTTATGCGCAATGTTTCAATTATTACAATCTATAGTTAGAAAATTTATGTACTAGACTTTGTAAATCTAGGTATTCTCTTTCATAGTAATAGTGTTGCAAGAAACGTGATCGGCAGATAAAAGTGGCATAAATATTGTTAGAATTTACTTTGTCATTACTTAAATCTGCAACATTGCTTATGCGTTTGTACAAAGTTTTAAATACGAATATAAATACAAATATCTTTATTTTGCCTGAAAAGTGGTTTACAAGATTTGAAAAAAATATAATTTATGTATCACACTTTTCACCAGAAACTAGCATGCAAAATTTAACTTAATAACAATTTAATACACAATTGTCTACTTGGAAATATATATATCAGATATTTCATCTATCTAGCACCTTGCTTAGTTATGTTTCGGTTACAGGCAGTGTAATGTCAGTCAAATTATAGGGTACGAAATCCACGTTAAATATATTAGTTCCCTGAAATTTTAGCTCAGGACGGGAATCTATCATGATTATTTATGTATATTAGCAACGGTTTACTGTCAGTCATCAGCTTTTCTGCAATTCCAATTAAATAGTATCCTACGACGTTGAAAACTGTACTAAAGGTAAAATTTTGATCCCTATGATACAGTAACAAATATCCAATAATCTTTAGACATTCACGCTATAAACATTAGTGTTATAAATAGTTTCGGCCGCTTACAAACATTTTAAACATATATTTTGTATAGTTTTGACATTAAATGATAAATTCGTTATTGATTGCTGAGTAGCGTGATTTTAAAGGTGGGAAGATAATAACTGGGCCGTCTGTTTTACTTGTCTACTGAAATATTGAATGAATTCTTTGTTTGTTTATACCAGTGGCACTCAATGAGGAAGTAGCCATTATTATTGCTAAAAGTTGCATATAGATGGCGTGATTGGTATCGATGGAATTCTTCATAGTTTTGCAAACGTTTTAAAAAACAAAACTGTGTTTTCAAAAATGTTTAATCAATTTTTAAAAAGTTATATATACATGTTAAAATGAAATAATGCGTTTAGAAAAGTAATTTTCATATATTTACTCATTTTGTTATTTTCCAGTACTTAATTACACTTTAATCAGTGCTAATATGGGGCTCAATGTTTTCAAAATGCTTTCATAGATGGCATTGTCGTCATTTGTATCGGCCTAATTAAATGTCTTTTTTATATTTTCCAATAATAAGCACTTAATATATTATTATTGTAAATTAAACATATAAAAATTTTTTAAGTAAATTAAAAATAGCCGAACAAGCAAGTAATAATATTTCCAATAATACTTATGTATGAAGTGTTGTCATATTATAAATAAATACATGTATTATCGATTTTTTTTAATAATCGATAACAGGATTTTATTACGCATTATTCGATGATGCTTTTAATGAGTCGTTGTGAACAGTAAATTTTCATTATTTTGTATTATAGCAGTGTTCCGTTTCAAAGAACGGAATATAGTAGTACATTATTAGTGTCGTTGGTTATTTACATTTGTACTGAAAAATCGATTACATAATAATTTAAAATATCGAGTACGAATCGTAGTTGTCTTCGAATACTGGCAACTGGTAAGATTAAATTAGTATTTAAAAAAAAGAGAGAAATCGATCCTAATTTGAATACCATAAAGTTGATTTTCCTTTCTCATTAATATCATAGCAGTTTGTTTTTAACTTGCGTATGACTCTGTGGTATGATGTTTAACGTGTATTGTTATTTATTTATTTATTTATTTATTTACTTAATACAGAAATTATTATTAATGTAAATGTATGCAACAATTCAAAAATTATATTTTAATGTAGGTACATACATTACTTTCATACATTTCAAAAATTATATTTTAATGTAGGTACATACATTTCTTTCATACATTTCATACATGTCAAAAATTATCTTTTAATGTAGGTACATACATTTCTTTCATACATTTCATACATGTCAA